TCCCCCTCCCCCTTTCTCCCTTCCTCTCTCTCTCAAAATTAAGAAAAAATCTTTAAAAAAAAATTTCTTTAGTTAATTATTGTTCTTAATACATTTTGTATTATTTTATCCATTTTAAATTTTAGAATTTAAAGGTTGTCTTTAGAACTTTTGGAGTATGTTGATCTGATTTGAATCCCTGGCTTTGCTACTTACCTATAGTATGACTATGGACAAATTAACAAATTACTTATGTATTAAACCTCAGTTTCTAATAATCAAAAAGAAGTAATAATAGCCTCATAGTATTGTTGTAAGCATTAAGGCATTAAGTGAAATAATAAATATAAAGAGTTTAGCACAATTCCTGGCACAAATATACTGTCTCATCAGTGTTTATTGTTGTTAATATTGTTTTATTAAATAAACACTCTCATCATGAGTGTTTCTTCCTCTGTCAGAGTGAAGATCGTTTTTAGAATGAAGAATGTATGTCCAAATTTTTTGTTAAGTCAGAATGTTAAAAAGAGGAAAATAATTTCAACAACAAGATGCATAATTTTTTTCCCTATATTAAAGGTTTAAAGAATGCAGCGATTATGCCCTATTGATGCCCTTGTTGTAAAAGTTAGAGATGTGGCTTATTCTAAAAAATAGACTTTTGAAAGACATGACATTGATCAAGATTTCTATAGGATTATGCTATATTTTTAAATGTTGACCAGAAATAGAGAAAGACTTGTCAATTATTCTGATATTCCAACACTTAAAAAAAAAAAAGTAAAATTTTGAAGAAAATGGTTTCTAGTGATAAAACATGATATCTCCATTGAGATTTAGAAATTCAGAATCCAAGTCCAGAGTGTAAAACTCTAACCACTTGGAGACTTATAAAAGCAAGAATTCCAAACTCACAATTGAAGATAATATTGATTAGTCATGTATAGTCTGTCCTCCTCCTAATTCACTTTTTTTTATCTTATCTAAGAATGTCTTTTCTATTAAGTTTATTGGGGTGACATTGGTTAATAAAATTATATGTTTCAAGTGTACAATTCTATGATACATTATCTGCATATTGCATTATATTTACCACCCAAAATCAAATTTTCTGTCATTACATATTTGACCCCATTTACCCTTAACTTTCCCTTCAACCCCCTTCCCTCTGGTAACTACCATACTGTCATCTGTGTTCATGAGTTTTTGTTTGTTTTTCTTATTTGTTTATTTGCTGCTTTCAGTTTTATATCTCACATGTGAGTGAAATCAAATGGTTCTTGATTTTTTTCTCTCTGACTTATTTCACTTCTTTGTAATTTTTAACAGAGTTGACCACTCTTTCCTTCTTGAAACTCTCCTCATGCTTTCTAAACTGTTGGTCTTGGTCCCCTCTTAATTTCATAGCTATGCACTTTCAGTTTACTTTCCTATCTCTTTTTGGTATTTCTAAATAATTATATATTTGATCTTTTTTTTCTTCTTGCTTTTTGAAGTATATTCCATTCTTATGACTTTATCACTGATGATTCCTAAGATTGTCCACTCTAAATCCTATTCCTTCTATTGTTTCAATAAAAATTGATTATTCTGAGCCAAGAGGCACAAATAGATTCCACACTCTCTCAGAGCGTATAGTCGATTAGAGATACAGAGAAGAAAACAAGCCATGATCATATTTAAAGTTCTATGAAAGTGAAGTGTAACATCCTACAAAAGCACATAAAAAGCCTTTACCTTCCCTGCATGCTTAAAAGTTCAGGGTGGCAGGAAGGAGTCACACAGAGGTAGCAGAAAGAACAAATGACCATTGTGGTTTTAAGATTGGTTCTGTTGAGCAAATAAATACATTGATTAGGAAATAAGTAAAAAATATTGAAGATAATTAAAGCTGGTTTCTCACTGTTGGAGAAAATAGAAACAGAAAGGAAGAAGGCTAAAAATAATTCTAAGGTTTTGGATGGGAATTGGAGGTGTTGAATCAGTGTTGGAGAGTACAAATTTTTGGTATGTGTATACACTGTACAGAGAAGGGGGAAGATGTTAGTCATAGATGTAGATATGTGTGCAATGTACACATACATATGTAGATTTTTTAGCTTAGAGACTACTGATGGGGCCTAAAAGCAGTGCACCCAACTAATAGTTCACATTCTTGAGAACCCAGACCTTAATGCCTATACATTGTTCTTTGCTAGAAGGAATCAGAGCCCTTTGGAGAAAAGACTGATTCCAGTGCTAGGCTAGAAAAAGTATGAGATGAACCTGGAACATCTTTTGTCAATAAGGAAATGCTCAAAATATAATGAGCATTTATGAATATTAAAGTAAATGACCATAGTAATAGATTACAACCCATTGAATATAACAGGAATCCATAAGTCTGTAGTAAATAAGTAAATCAATAAATAAGAAAAAAGGAAAGCTCCTCCTTACAGTTGGAATACCAACTTATAAGGCTAGAAAGAATCCATGTGGCATTGATCATAGTGCTTAGGAGTTGTCAGTGGATGCTAAGTCTGGTGTGTTGATAAACTATTGATGAGATGGAATAGCTCTCATACAAAAAGTAGTCAATTACAAAGGGGAAACATAATGATCTTATGGTGTAGGAACTTGGCGGAGACTAACACAAACAGATAATAAAAGTCAACATCACCCATAGTTGGATGAGTCAACATCATGTAATCACCAAGAAGAGCATTGCACCATTCTTTGGTATTTCTAAATTTAAGAGAATATTACCTTAGTCTTGGTCATGCAGAGACATCAGGTCAGCCTGTAGAAATTTAATGCTCATTCTCTTTAAAACTGTTGAGGAAGAGAAAGGCTAAGGAATTATTACTTCTTGGAAGAGCGCGAAGAAACATGACAACTAAATTCAGCATGTTTTCATTGAGGTCCTCGTCCCAGAAAAAAAAAAGAAACATTGTTGAGACAAAAGACAAAATTTGAATGAGGTCTGTGGTTTGGGTGGTAGTGTTGTATCACTGTGTCTTGAGAGTTTTATTGTAGTTATGTAGGAGAATATCCTTTCTTAGAAAACTGCATTCTGTAGTACTTAAGGGTGATGGAGGCATATCTGTAACTTGCTATGAAGTAGTTCTGAAAAAGACTTAGGATAGAAAGAAAGAGAGGAGAAAGGATGATGGGGCAAATGTGGTGAAATGTTAACAGCTGGGCAGTCTGTGTCAGGGGATGTGGAAATCTTTGTTCTATTCGTGCAATTTTCTTAAATTGAACTTTTAAAAACAGTTATACCTATTTTAAAGCAAATAGAAGGAAAACTTAGAATGGGTTTGTAGGAAAGAACTTTATAAGAAAGTGATTCCTAAATTAGAATCTAAAATATGTCAGCAATGCCTGGCCGGTGTGGCTCAGTGGTTGGGCATTGACCCATGCACCAAGAGGTCGCCAGTTCGATTCCCGGTCAGGGCACATGCCCAGGTTGTGGGCCTGATCCCCAGTGGGGGGCATGCAGGAGGCGGCCAATTGATGTTCTCTGTCATTGATGTTTCTATCTCTCTCTCTCTCTTTCTCTCTCTCTAAAATCAATAAAGAAAAAACAATTTGTCAGCCATAGGCACTTAAGGATCTGTGAGCTCCTTGAGAGGGGAGAGAGTTTAATTTAGTTTTAGTTTTTATTTTGTTTTGTTTTTTAATGGTTGGCAATTAGATATTGTTGTTGACTGAATGCATGAATTGAAAAAAAATTGGAAATAAATTTGGTATGGCTAGGAAGTGGGATGTCAGTGTGGCAATGGCAAGAAATTAGGCTGGAAAGGTAAGCAGGAAATAGGTCCTATAGTAGGAACTCAATAAATATGTATTAAGTGTGCTTGTAAGCAAAAAAAAAAAAAAAAAAATAAGGTAATTACAAAAATGGCAGCTCTCTATTGCATCCCAAGTGATTGTTAAGTAAACAGTTGGGAGCTAGATATATAAATTCTTTAAGATTAAATTTCTTTTGATTCATACTTGAAATTTTTAACTAATTGGACAATATTTATCTTGCTTTATGTTAAATGAATGAATCTTTATAAATTCTTGCCCATGGTCAGGATTATGTATATATGTGGATACGTATGTACTTCATAAGATCAACGGGTTTAAATCTATAGTTTCATTCAGCTCTAAGAACTGTTCAGACAACTACAGAAACTTGCAGTTCAGCATGTACCCAGTATTGCACCCGCACAAATAAGCACTGTCTGTTAATCTCCACCTTTCCCCTTCTAGTTCTTCTTTTTTTAAAAATCCTCACCAGAGGACATTTTTGCATTTATCTTCAGATAGAGCGGGAGGGAGGGAGGGAGGGAGGAAGAGAGAAAGAGAAACATCGATGTGAGAGAGACACATTCAGTGGTTGCCACCCACAAGATCCCAACTGGGGCCGGGTTGAACTGCAACCAAGGTATGTGCCCTTAGTGGGAACCGAACCTGGGACTCTCTGGTCTTCAGGCCAGTGCTCTAACCACTGAGCAAAACTGGCCAGGGCTAGTTCTTCTTTTTGATGCAGCCAAATTGTTTGAACTTAATTGGAGTATTATTTTTATAGTAGTTTCTTAGGGGAAATGTGACTATAAAAAAAATATTCATTAGCCCCTTGGCATTTTAGTCCTGGTGCTCTTGCAATCCCAAGTGAGTAAAATAATCTGTAGAAACAGAGTTTATATATAAGAAGCAAAATTACTTCTCTCAGTATCCTTAGTAAATTAATGTGGAGCAAAGGCATTATACTTCTTAAAAAGATGTAGGACAATTTTTTGCCTAGATATTTGTTCCCCCAGATACTTATTTTGTTTGCCAAAAGATTGTAAAACAGAATAATTTTAGAACTAAGAACTTATATTCAGTTTATAGAACCATAAAATTGATAAATGAATGTGAAATATAACAAATCTTGTGAAATACTCAAATGCATTCTGTAATTATAAGAATTTTAAGAGAGAATTGTTAAAGCCCTTATTTTATGAATATTTACAATATTGCTTTTTGTTTTGTTTTACTACATATGCTAGGCACTTGGAGGTGTCCCAGGAAGTCAGCCATTACTTCCCAGTGGAATGGACCCAACTCGACAACAAGGTGACTATTTTAAAGTAAAAGTGAAATAGATGTGCAGGATCTCCAAGGAAATTTTTTATTCTTTAAAGGAATTTTTTATTTGACTATATCTTCCATAATTGTACCAGTTGCATTTTTGCAGATAGCGTGGCCAAGTGATTTATATTTTTAGCTAACTCTTAATTATGCATAATGGTGAGGGCAGTGATAACATAAGAAACAGAATAATTAAGCACCAAGCTGAGAGGAGACTGCTGGCCTCTGGTGTAGCCCCCATGCTCATTACATAGCTAATACCTTTCTGCTTGTATTTTAGGACATCCAAATATGGGTGGGCCAATGCAGAGAATGACTCCTCCAAGAGGAATGGTGCCCTTAGGACCACAGGTAAGTAATCGGAGAGTAGATGCTTAGCATTTTGTCTTTGTTTTATATAAACAAACTATGTTATTTCCTGGGTTTTGTTATAGGCATTAAAGGCTTAATATAATACAGTTGTTAGTCTCTTGAGAACATGATATCTGTGACATGCCCAAAGTGATTGTGGCAGCAAACCATATTTACAGGTGCTGTCAGACATGCTTTCAGTGCCTTTGAGGAAATACATGATAGTAATTGTTATAAAAAGATAACTCTTCCCTTTTGTTAGTTATATTGAGGAAATATTCAAAAATTATAGAAAATTATTATAAAAGACAACCATGTAAGTTAATGATTAAAAATATGAAATAGAATAAGCAGTATATATTTCTCTAAGTCTTTTAGAGAATGCCATTGACAGTTTATTTTATACTACCATATTTCTTTACAGAATATGGAAATAATAGGAAATCATTTAGAATAACCATAAAAAAGTGGTTTTTCTGAACAAGCATAATGCTAGCCATATATATCAGATCTTAGCCTCCTTCTCTACCCAAATTTCCCAGAAGTATACACTGAGGTCACATCTATCCTAGCTGTTGGTGACATTTTTTTAAGTATGTCTTCTAGGATATCATTTATTTGGACTAAAACATATTTTTCTCTCCCTTGGGAAAACTGCATGTTATAATTCAAAGAAACTAATCCAAAATTTAGAATTTAACATTTCTACCTCATAAATCAGAGGTTAGTTTGTCATAATGCTGGTTAAAAGAATGAATTAATATATTTTATTTTTCCTTTCCAAGAACATCATTATAAGTGACAGTTTTAGAAGCTTGTTTCGTGTATCTACTTTTTAAACATTAAATTAATATTTTGTTGTGTGCCTAAAGGAGTCAAAGAATTAGAATCTAACACCTAGGTAATGTGACTTAGGCCTAGGAGTTTCTAACCAACATACAATAATATACATATTCACTGTATTGAAACATGAAGTTCATGTAACCTAATTTTTTAAAAATACCATATTACATAGTAAAAAACACTATATAAATATACATGAGATAGAAAAAAAAATTATTTTGGTTAGGCTCAATCTTTAACTATGTGTTTTCTTAATATCTTATAAAACTCTAATTTCGATATTTAAATTATTTTTTCCTGTTTCTACTCATGTTAGGGATAACAGTTTATGGGACCAACTATCATTAAGCTAGTAATAACGATTAGAGTTTATAAGATTTACAGGATGTTTCATTGATTGAATATACAGAAGTCTTTAATAAACTAAATATTTAATGAACTAAGCCAACTAATTTGGCTACATGGGACTTGAAGACTTTTTTTTTTTTTCCAAAAGATTTTCATAATACATATATTTTAAAGATACATCAAAACTTCATGCCTATAATTTAATCAGTCTTCATTCAGTTCACTTGTTTTTCAGGTAGTGTCTCTTTAAGTTTTTGTCATTCCTAGACCAATATTTTTAATATTTTAAAAACTGAAGTCTGACTTGAGTCAGTTTTGTAGTGTTTGAAAGGTATTCCACTGCTTACCTAAGTTTATGAACACTCAAATTTCATTTAAAAAAGCAGAAATGAAAAGCATACTGGTCTATGTTTTGTTTTATAAATAGCCATATGTTTGTTTTGTTATAAGTAAAATAACATATTTCTGGTGAGTAATCTCTTATTGATGAGTTTATCATATAAGTGTAAATTCTTTCTTTGCATATTCAAACACAAAGAAAGTAGTTTATTTCTTCCATTTGGATTGGTACATAAAGTATAAAAGGTTAAGGAAAGTATTTATACATATCATGTAGTTAAATGAAAACAGGAATCATATGAATGATATAATAGGTAAACAGGGAGGTAAAATTGCTTGGAATGGGGAATATTTGTGAGATATTTACTCATAACACCTGGTGTATAAAACATGGGCATTATAAACTGTGAAATTTACAGTAAAGGTTAGCTGTGTTTCTTGAAAGAAAATAAAAAACAGCTTTCATAACAGACATTTAATCATACAAATGCCACCTAAGAGCAGAATGCACCTGCTTTTTTGTAGCTGAATTATAGAAGCAGTCTCTGGACTATTGTCTCTAGCTTTATGTACAAACAAGATATACATCTTGTTCTTATCATAAATATTATTTTCATTATTGTTTTAGCTTAGGATCGATGTGGTGAAGAAGGACAGTAGTTATCTACTGGGACAATTTATTTACTAGAACAAAGTGATTGTTAGCTAATGCCGATTTAGGCAAAGTACACCCCTAGGACAAAGTAAACATGTGATTAATACTTATTGCATGGATGAAGAAATAAAAGTTTGTGCTAAATCCTGGCATCTTGTTCTCACCTATCAATCTATTTTAAATCTTAAGTTCAGTGATAATGCATGATTTTTAAAATTTATATAGCTATCTTTTCAGTAGAAAAGCAGAATTATCTATTTGATCAAGAAACATGTCATCCCTAATACCAAATTTGAAGTCATTTTTTCTACTTGCTTTTGTGCTAAGATGTATTTAGTTTGCCTGTGTTCTTATGCTCAATTGGGTGCCATAAAATTAACAGAAAAAGTCACCAAGACCACCCAACTTTTTCTAGTTCCTCTAGAAATCTAAAGGATAATGAGTTACATACAAGTGAAAACATACCATGATTTCCAACTCAGATACCGGAGGTGGAGAAGAGCTGACGTGGAAATATGTGATGCGCTCTCATGTAAAGAGAGAGTACATGGAGTTCTGTGTGGGTGGTAGAATTCAGTTCAAGAAAAGGAAGAAATTTCTAGAAGTTAAACTGCTCAATCATGGAAAAACTCTTGGTAAACTTTCCAAGCAGAGTCTGAAGAGCCGTTTTGTCAGGAACATTGCATTGGGAGTGAGATTGAACCAGATGGAATTGTATAGCTGCCATCAACTTTAAAATTCAGTGATTCTAAATTAGCTCTTTCTATTCTGCCTTTGTTGATGCCACTGAGAAAGCCAGTTGTTATTCTTTCTTATATTCCTGTTTTCTTTTTGCTTTAGATTATTCACAAAATGTGAATATTTTGCAAATCTATCAAATTATATATTGGATAATTTCTTACTCCTTCCTGTGACACCTGAGCACTGGGGATACAAATAGGAGTAAAAGATTCTGCCTTCAAGGTCCTGGTTTAGCAGGAGGTGCAGAAACAAAGAAAAACTATTATGCAGCAGAAAAAAAATCTAGAAAAAAATATACATCCCCTGTCAGTATGCATACAAGCCAAATAATTCTGTGAGGGTTGAGAGCTGGAGAGAAGCTGATGAGAAGAGAACTCATTTAAAGTTGGTCCCTTATTAATGGTTACAAGAAAGAGTTAGCAGCTATAATTTGTTAGCACCAGGTATCATGCTTTTAATACACCAAACACTAACATAGGTGTTTTATATTTTTTCAGTGTATCCTTCCACAAGCTTATAAGGGAAAAGATATTATCACTTTACAGATAAGGAACTTCAGGTTGAGCGGGTCATTGGGAGAATCACTGGCCCAAGAGCACACGTAGAAAGAGGATTAGAGGGAATGGGGCAAGGGCAAAAGAGATTCAGACCAGTGTCTTTCTGTGTCCAGAGCTATAAGGAAAACTAATGTTTTCTTTGATAATATAAAACACAGACCTTCTAAGACCAAAATTGAGGGGAGACTTTCCTTGTGAAGCATTTCTATTACACGTTACCATTCAGATTGTGTTCCGATGACATTCTTCTCAGAGACTCCTTGTTAATACTGTTGCTACCGCCATCAAGCTTGATCGAGAAGTTAAGGGAAATAGCTATTCTTTTAACCAATGATTCAAAGTGTGGATAGAAACCATTCTACTGCCCTATAGCACACAAAATTGGGATGTTTAAATGAGATTTCCTGAAAGTAAAAGAAATAAACACTGAGACTAGCATATAAGTAAATAAATTATTTATAAACTGTGGCTTAATCTCTGGAGTAAAGAGACTTTCCTCACTGAATATTTCTTTGTCACCTAAGCACGACTACACAGAAGGCCATAGCACATGAGTTAAAACGAGTAAATTTGCATTGCTTGTTTCTGAACCACAGATATTTGGTAGGTTCAGAATATAGTTGAGAGGAGGGGAAGAAAGTAAGAATTATAGGATGAGAGGGCGGGAAATACAGGCGGGACTGATTTATGAATAACCTCACAAAGCCATGCTAAGGAGATAGGCAGTATGGGTCATCATGGCTTTTAAGTGACTTGGAGAAGACTAAATTTTAGAAGCATAGTTCTGGAGGTTAGTATGGAGACTAGATTGAGACGGGGAGAGGCCAAGTCAGAGAGACCAATTAAGATAATAAGTACTCTCAGTAAATGATAAATATTAGTGCTATGAAGGAGAGTACTGTTTCAAGAGCTACCTCACAGGTAGAATCAATAGGCTGTGTGGTAACGGGAATGGAAAGAAAAGGAAGAGACATCAAAGCTCCTGGGGGTTCCTAACTGGGACTGTTGTGTGGAGGTCATGCCACACATCTGAAGACGACGATGTAAACAGTCATGAAAAGACTTTCAGTCATGTTGTGCATGAAGTGGTAACCAGGTGGAAACAATTTCTGTGAAGTTCAACATATGAGTTATGTAGGATATCTGTCGTGACAGCATACAAGTATGTGGAATTCCTAACATAAATAGTGAACTAATGATAGCAGGCAAAATTACCCATAAGTGTGCATTTAGTGAAATAATAAGAATTACCATTATTAGAATATTCAAAGAATGCTATGGCTAGAACATTAGGAAAAGCACCACTTACAGAGTTAACAAAATAAAAGGAGCCAGCAAAGGAAAGTGAGAAAGAGTAGGCAGAAAAGTTTGAAGGAATAGTGGTGTCAGAAAATCAGGTATGAAAGTGGTTGGTACTAACAAAATATATCAACATGATAATGTTATATTTAATCTTTTGGCCCTAGTGAGCTAATATGGGATGTATGTTAAAACATTAAAATATTTTTATCATTTGAGTGACAGAAGCCTATTGAATCATATAATTTACGAATACATATTCTCAGTTTACCTTAGTTTTCATATATTTTTATACATTTATGTTAGTGCATTTATGTGTTGGGCATATTATTTTGTAAACAGAAGTTTGCATTCAACTTTCTTATGTTGGGTTCACCTAGAGGTTTTTTTTTCAGACTTTATGTAAATGTTCTGGGTCTGACTATTTCAAACATGTTGACTTAGGTTTTTGGTCTGACAATTTGCAACGTGTTGACTAAGTCTTTTCTTTAAAAACAGTTTTGAAATGCATGAAATGTTTTATTTTAAAAAGTTCACTGTTGTACATATATTAGGAAATGTAATAAAGATACATTAAATGTCATTGCAACTAAACCTTAATCGTTTAACATGCTACAATGATCTTACGTATTTACATAGTTTTTAAAAGACACAAACCAAAGTAATTGTTAAAATAGAAGCAAAAGTACAAGAGTGGACCCTTCAGAGAATGAATTGCACAGGCCTTATCCAATCGGGAGTTATGTAGGGAAATCATTAACCTGCTCTCCTTTTTTTCCCCCCTCCTCTTTGGTTTTGTTTTTTTGTTTTGTGGTAGTCTGACCCTTGGTTATCATTACAGAACTATGGAGGTGCAATGAGACCCCCACTGAATGCTTTAGGTGGCCCTGGAATGCCTGGAATGAACATGTAAGCAAAATGCCGTATTGTTGTCTTTTCCGTCTTTGAAAGTCACACTAATTTGTAAAACAGTTTCAGCTCTTCAATTTCTGGGTAGTGTAAAAATGGACTAAACATGATCTGTAGTGTTTACTTCATTTTCAGAACATATTGTTTATGTTTTCCTTCCTTCCCGTGCAACCTTTAATTTTTTTTCCCATTTTCAGATGCCATAAATGCCAACTTTTAGCCTGTTTTTTAAACATTTTATCTAATTATCATAAAAATGAGTTTTTTTAAATAAGCAAATAAGTCTCCATATCATCTATACAAAAGTATGAAGAGATGCTCACACCAGCAGCATGACCTCACTCTACGAAGTCAACAGTTGCATACCGGTAGCTTCATTCTAACAGGTACCCAGTGGTCCCTGAGACTGGCGTTTTAGCTCTTCTCTGTGTATCCTCACTGTGCTGTGTTGGGCCCACTCTTACACAGGAAGATCTCTCTCTGGTAGGGTCTCTATATTAAAGAACTTCCACAGTATGGGATGAATTTAATTTCCCTTTGAAAATTCAAGATGCACTTAGAACAGGAGTAAACAAGCAGTTTGGGTTGTTGTTTTAATTCTCACCTGAGGATATTTTTCCATTCATCTTCAGATAGACTGGGAAAGGTAGAGAGAGAGGGAGAGAAACATCGATGTGAGAGAGACTCATCGACCGGTCGCCTCCCGCACGACCCTGACCAGGGCTGGGGACCAAACTGCAACTGAGGTACGTGCCCTTGACCGGAATCGAACCTACGACTCTTTGGTCCACAGGCCTATGCTCCAACCGCTGAGCCAAACCAGCCAGGGCAGCATTTTGGGGTTTTTTTTATGGGTTTTTTTCCCCCTTGAAAAGTCCTAGTAGGTTTTTTGTGTTTTTAAATCCTTACCCAGGGATATTTTTTCATTTATCTTCAAATAGAGTGGGCAGGAGAGAGAGAGAGGGAAAGAGAAACGACATGAGACACATCGATTGGTTGCCTCCCACACAACCCCAACCAGGGCCAAAGACCAAAATGTAACCAAGGTATGTGCCCTTGACCAGAATCAAACCCACGACTATTTGGTCCGAGGGCCGACACTTCAACCACTGAGCCAAACCGACCAGTGCAAGACAGTAGGTTGTTTCCTATCAGCCAGTATAATGCAGTTTGTTAAGGAATTTTTATTTTACATTTTTATTATATAAGTTGTCCTCAAAGTTTCATACCAGGTGCTCATTAGTGACTTTAATTCACTAGAAGGTCAGTTCCATGACGTGGCTTAAAGAAATCTTGCTAGAAATTATGAAGATGTGTAATGGAGGGTTGTGGGCAGACTCCTCTAACCTGTTTTCCATCCACCCATGTTTTGGTCACTTACATGTGAAATTAAACAACTCTGCCATCATTTAATGGCATTGAAGATACTGTGAGATAAGCTCTTTTGATGTACACAGGGATTTTCATGGAAAGCAATTCTGCCTAAAATAGAAAATAGGTTAATAGGTGGGTATCAGCCAGACTGAAAACTAACAGAACAAGAGGAAAAAGTAGGTCAAATTTTCCTATCACATCTTTTTACTTTTAAGGTAAAAATGGATAGACATGAAGTCTAACTTTTCTTAAATTCCTCAAAGGCTTAGCCTTTATTAATGGTTGCTACAAAAAGGAGTGAGGGATACTTTGTGCCAATATCAAAGCTGAGGCTCTTACTAGTAGGATTTAAATATGTATATAAAATCGACTGACCTGAGATTCTGACTTGAAAATGCTAGAGCTTTTAAGAATATAATTTTGAATGCTAGGTATATGTGTAAGGAGTATACATTTTGAATACTATGATCAACCTAAAATTATCATTAAATATTAAGAATGTATCTAATACCATTCTCTAGATTACTCTTTATTATAATTAAACATACACACATATAATCACAAGGCCCCAATAGCTGTTTAAATTGTCTAGTTCCTTTATTACATGCACTTAAATAGATATATATATATGGATATGTTTAATTCCCCCAGAGGTGAGGAACATCCAGCCTGTGGGCCTTACAAGTCCCTAGAAATCAATACCAGCTAACATCACACACCTCACCAAATGAGCCTGACAAATATAATGGGCTAATTTTTAAGTTGATTATTTTGTATGGCCTGAGAATGATGTTATGAATATCCAAATGGCCCTTGGCAGAAAAAAGGTTCCCCACCCTTGTGACTATGGAGACTAAAAACATGGCTGAAAATTTTAGTATAATTATTTTGTTTGTTTGAATTCTGGTTTCTCATTTAAATACACCCAGATACGTCAAAATATTTTTATTATATAATTATATAATATAATACTTATATTATATAGTTTCAGGTGTTTAAAGAACCTTTACCTTATAGACTCAGCCCTAGCTGGTCTGGTTCAGCAGTTAGAGTGTCGGTCCATGGACCAAAAAGTTGTGGGTTCGATTCTGGTTGAGGGCACCTACCTCAGTTGTGGTTATGCAGGAGGCTGGCAACCAGTTGATGTGTCTCTCTTACATCAATTTTTCTCTCTCTCTCTCCCTCCCACTCTGTCTGACGAGAAATGGAAAAAACAAAACATATAGACTCAGATTTTCATTATTTGTTGCTACTGACTTTTATTCGGGGTCTAACATCATTTTCAGTTTTCTGTATATTGGGATTTCTCCAAGGACAATGAAAATGTAAATATGTACATGTTTACATTGGTAAATATGTCCCTCTAACAGGGAAAGCTCTGATGTGTGGAATATCAAACCAGAGAGAATAATTTTTGTAATGATATTGGCCCCGATAAAGCAAAATTAATTTAAAGAGACATTTAAAAAAATTATCTCCATTGTACTCAAAAGGGCAAACTGTATTAAAATTTACTTCATAATTTAATATCTTTAAAACAAAGTAAATCTTACTGTGTTATGGCAAATAAGCATTTCTAACTAGTATTTTTGGCTTTCTTCATGTCACTTTTTTTTTACATGTCGGGTAACTTAAAAATTAAAGGAAATGGCATTATAACAGTGTTAGCTTAAGCTATGTTTCTAAGTCTAATAAGATACTCGAGTGTTGGGCCAGGAGGGACCTGCCAGGGAATCATTATCTGGATGAGTTTTCTTTAGCTTATCACCTTTTCTTGTTTGCTGTGGAAGTTTAATGACAATGAAAAATACCAAACCCTGGTCACTAAAGTAATTAAATACTGTATTTTAACTGGCAACTTTATCTCTTTATTGAAGAATAAATTATTTAGAACAGAATTTTAATAATTCTGTTGATAAAATATATTGGTCGCCTCTGGGGGAAAAAAAAATGTTATTCTGATATAATTTTTACATCCCATAAACTCAGGATAAATTATACATAGTATCATGTAAAAATTAAATAATATATACTTTTATTGTTTCTATAACTAATATATCTTTAGAAGTAAAAACTTAATGTCAATTTTAGTAATTTAAAGTAGAATTTACAAATCACAGCCACATTGTAAATGTTTACAAATGTAGCATAGATTGTTTTAAAAGGAAACTGTATTTTTAAATTAACTATATTTCTACAGATTTCCAAAGAATTTGAGATTCAGCATTAAAGTATTTCAAATGCAATATTGTATACTTTGGTACTTTATAGAAACTAAGGACAAAGTGTTTCAAAGGATCTAGACCAGCCATTTTCAACCTGTGGGTCACAACCCCTTTGAGGGTCAAACGACCCTTTCACAGGGGTCGCCTAAGACATAACAGTAGCAAATTTACAGTTATGAAGTAGCAACAAAAATAATTTTATGGTTGGGGGTCACCACAACATGAGGAACTGTATTAAAGGGTCACAGCATTAGGAAGGTTGAAAACCACTTTCTAGACCTCCTTGTCCTAGATCATATCTTACAGAATCATGAAGTCTGTATAGTTATTATCTGGAAATAAAAGACTGAATTACTACAAAAAAAAAAAAAAGAGGATTTTGCGCTGGTTGGTTTGGCTCAGCGGTTAGAGCGTCGGCCTGTAGTCCAGAGAGATCCGGGTTCAGTTCCCACTAAGGGCACGTACCTCGGTTGCAGTTTGTCCCCGGCCCTGGTTGGGGTCGTGTGGGTGGCAGCCAGTCGATGTGTCCCTTTCACATAGATGTTTCTTCCTCTCTCTCTCTTCATCTCTCTCCCTCCCACTCTACCTGAACAAGAATGGAAAAATGTCCTCGGGCGAGGATTAAAAAAAAGAGAGAGAGAGAATTTTTCTCTGGTAATTATGGTTGCTTTGATTTCATCATATCTACATACCCTTACCAAGAAATACAAACTTTTAAATTCCATTTTTTTTGTTATTTTTAAATGAGGCTAATCTTTATTCTACTTCAAACTATACGTGTATAGAAATTTTCTATTGAAATAAAGCCTATGTTATAATTTGTAGATTATTTTTTTAATGATACTGGTGGCCCTTAAAAGTAGTGCGAATTACTGAGCTTAGTAGCCGTTCTAATAGAACTACTTACTACTGTAACCTCCACTTTATTTAGCCCTTTAATGAAACTTAAAATGTTTTCAAACACAGTGGTAAAGTTGGGGAACTTTAGCTTATCCATATGAATACTTAAGCAATTTTATTAAAATGCAGTTAAATATGAAATACATAGTGCATGGAAATTAGATTAGTATTTGTCAAATAACTGAAATGCATGAAAAGTATTTTGTTACTTATAATAAATTTAACATTTAATTTAATGTTATTTAATTGTTACTTATTTAATTAGGTGAAATGTTTAACATTTGTTTAATTTAGCATATTAATATAACATTATAAACAAATTTTAAAATAACAAATAATACTATTTTAATATATTTTGTTCATACAGTTGTTTTTCAAACAATATGTAACATAATTGTATACACAATTTTTGCCATTATGTGGATATAGTGTATTTTTATGTTGTTTTAAGATAAATATTTCTCAATGTCTTTACTATATTTTATTCACCATCAAACAAATCATATGGGGTAACATCAAACAAATCAAATGTTTTTTACCTGATCAACATATATTCTGTTTTACCTCAGTTTCTGTCCATTAGGACATTGAAACCTATGTGCAAAATCATCTTTCTAAAGTGTTCTAGTAACTGTAAAATTACCACCACCACCACCACCACCACCATCTTAGAGAAGGAACAATTTCCAAAAACAATACACGTGTCCCTCCCCTTCTCCCTGTGCACAGGACTTTGACCAAGTTGCCTCTGGCATCTTTTTTTCTCCTTTTCTTTCTCAAGCAGAATTGGGACCATTTCACTTGGGAATCTTAATATAGAGCCCAAGGGCAGAATTTTCATTCCCTTCCCTGTTTACATCCCCAAGAAATCCCAAAATAAAAAAACAGGTCTAAATATCCCAGGTTAACATGGATAATACAACTAACTTGAACACCCTCTAACACTTAAAACTTTGAGGTCTCTAGAATAAGAATAAGGGGACTTTTGTTTAGTAACAATTTTCACTGCAATTGGAGGGAAAGGTGAATTCTGAATGACCCTAATTACAGAGGACTGATTGACAGTAATCTACTTTTCATCAGGCAGTACTTATTCAGGTATACTTAGTATGAAAGCATGAGGACAAGGGACCTTTCTGACTCAATTAGGCATTCATTTTGTTTTTAAAAGTTGATGTTTATTTAAGTGACAGAATATAAATCACTGTCCTTTACACTAAAATTAAGTAATATATTAACATACACTGGCATAGGCTACCTCCTATTTTTCCCAAGATTTACTCTGGCCATGGTGTTCTACTACAGTTATTACAACAAGAAATAGGATTCCCTTGTTTAATAGTAACCAAGTTGTCAGTATTTCTGAAAGATTGATATATAAATGTATAATGTACCGTGTGATAGTCAGATTTTCCTAAAAGAGGGCAAATTTAGACACCTTTTATGTACATTTGTTTGTAGCTTAAAAGAGTAATCATTTTTATATACTAGATATTTTACAAATAATTTTATTTTTATTTTTAATGAGATACAGGGGGTACTTATATTGATGTCATAAGATTATACTTTATAGTATTTCTTTCATAATTAGTACTTTTTACTCCAATACTGTGCTTTCATAATGATTTAGGTATATGTATATATATTTACTGCTATAGGTGATTACAACTTTTAGTGTTTATTACAGTAATTGAACTTAATATTACAGTGAAACTGGGCTAATTAAAAGTAGTTTGATTTTGGAAGAAAATTGCTTTTTGAAATGATAAACTTTTCCATAATTTATAATCCCTTAGTTTTTGTTGTTCTCAGGAAAAGTAAAAAAAAAAAAAAAAAAGTTCTTAGCTTACACACTTGGAAAAAAAGAATTAAAAATCTATGTAAATATGTATAAAGAGAGTAATTTCATTGTTTAACTAGCACTTCATAGTAACTGCATCATAAATGTTAATATTTTATGATTTGTCATTGCTTATTGTGAAAGATTCAAAGCATAAGTTAAAATTTTATTTAACATATTGTCTTATAGGGGTCCAGGTGGTGGTAGACCATGGCCAAACCCAACAAATGCCAATTCAGTGAGTATATGTATTTTTTAATTTTCTTTGCACTTTTTAGCATTTAACAACAGTCTGTTGCTTTTCAAAGCCCTACAGTTGTTTATATTTATCTTTTTTAAAAAATAATCATTCAAAAATATCTATCTTGTGTACATTATTTTTAATATTCATAATTGTAATTTTTTCACTTCAAGGGCTAATGTAAACATGCATTCTATGTAGATTAACAGACCAAAAACAAAGATAGAAAGTGTGATTTAAGTATGCTACAGCAACCTATATCTATCATAAAATGATTTGATTTATTATAAAATGATTTCATCTAAAATAACTATACAATCACTGAGTTGTCAGAAAAGATCAATCTCAGTCAGGGCCATTATGCTTATATTTTCTGTACTAGTTACACCTAGGTTTGCTCTCTTGCTGCCCCAGGAAGCAAGCATGCATTGGCCTTGGGCCCATGGGCTAAACTGCCATCCTTACACATCTATGTATCTGACATTCCGGGATTTTCTTTACATGTTTTGTGGCAGTGGTTTGCACAAATATTTTTCTCTCTTAATAACATCACATATATTATGCACAGGTTGAAAATTAAGCTTACAATCTTAAAATTAATCTGATTTTTATTTATTGATTCTGAAGATGTTTTTCCTTCTTGACTTTGAAATCTTGTGTTCATTATGTGAGCGAGGTCTGCTGTGTTCGGTTTGTAGTGTGTGCACTGCCCGAGGTGCCTGAATCAAGGGAGTCCGTAAGGGGCTGAATACAGCTTGTGGCATCTGACTATCTGCCAGAGGGGATGCCTTTTGCTAATATACACTGAGATACCTTCACTGGTTAGCAGTGGCCTTAATGCTAAATAAGCATGAAACTGATTGATGTTTAAGGTTAATTTAAACTTCAAGAAAATGTGAAACAAGGTGTGTGTTGTATAGGAAGAATCATCATCCTAAATCCGTTGCTATTCTAAAGCAGAAATCACTTTCTTCTCAAGTAATTGCCATATTTTTAGAGAGAAAAATACATTTATATTACCTACCTCCCTCTTAGTTTCAGTAGCTGTGATATTTACTAATTAAATAAAATTATTAGGGGTGGAGAGAATGAGGATGTTGCTTCCATTTGGCTCTTCCGTGTACTATGTAATCTGAACAAATCTTTTTTCTAAAATACTGTTTTGTCAGATGATGTTATAATGTGAATACCTTTATTCCTCCAAAAGTCTTCTAGTTTGCTTATATGCTTTTGAAGAGTTCACATTTCTCTCTGTTTCTTGTTATATGCCTTTCAAATTCATTCCAGATTTCACTCTAAAATGGCATCTGACTAGCAGCTCAAAATACAGTTCTTTCCATTTCCTATTGAAGTATCTATAAAGATACAGGAAAAAAAAACCAAAAAAAAACAAAAACCTATTTTTATAACTGAAAACGCTGACAATCTCCCTATTGCCAGAGTCTGGAAAAAAATTATATTATCTGCATGTCTGATGAAACTGGATTAGAAAGCACACTCGATGGCCCACCTTAACTACGTAAATCTTCCCATCTAGAAACAAGAAAACTCTTCTCTCCTTCCTCAGTCAGCTCAGCCAGCCTCTGCTGCCCACTGCAAGCAGCAAGGTGCAGTTCACACCCACCGCTGCCCACTGCCAGCTGTACCGCCTTTTATACTCTCATCTGGAGACGATTATCCCCCAAATCAACCGAAGAAAGTGGGTGGGATTTGATATTGAGGATGGTGCATTGTACCTAATGGGTGTACTGTAAGAGTATAAGAGGTAGAGATAAGGAGAGAGTTCTGTGTTCTGAGGATTTGGGGTACTCCATCTCTTCAGGATTTCATAGAGCCAAGCACTATGGATAGGAGAATATACTGTGTCAGGTCAGCAGCTATTATTTAGATCCCGAGAAACACTAGGAATGACAGTTGGAGCTGCGCATATCACACTGGCAGTGGTCAGTCTAAATTAGGCATTTGGCCAGAACACATGTGGGCAGCGTTGAAACAGTCCCTTCTGTTAATATACACCACAGTGGGTACAGCTCCCTCACTCAAAAATGTGAGTAGGGAAAGAAGTGGGGGAAGGCCTACAGTTTTCTCCTCAGAAAGAAACAGGTCATCATCTGGAGCACAGAAAGGAAAAGGATTCCTCTGAAAAGGATTTACTATGAGAACAAGAAAAAAAAATCACAAAAGACTGATGACTTTCCAGCAAAAACATAGGGTTTACATGAAACCAAGCAAAAAGTATTAGAGAGATTTTTTTTCTCCCTAAATATCATTGATTATATTGTAGTGACAGCTCATATATATTATTTTGAATTCCAAATTTCTTTGACTTCTTGTCTATATTTAGCAACAGAACACATTTTATTTTGTATCAATACTGTAAGTCTGTGGCTCCTCAGGGCAGCATATGAAAGTGGTTGTTTTATTTTGTTTTTCTGTTTTTGTATATATTTTACAAAATTTGTATATGTTTTTCTTCTTTTAAATATGTATATTTAAATAACTTCAGATTTATAGAAAAGTTGCAAGAATAGTACAAAGAGATCCCATATGCCCTTTGCCCAGATTCCCAAGTGTTAAAGATTTGACACATTTGCTTCATGATTTCCTCTGTATATACATAGTTTTCCTGAATAGCTGACTTATATTTACATTGTAGACATGATCCCCCTTTATCCCCAAACTCTTTCAGTGTGTGTTTTTCTAAAAATAGACATTATCATTTATAACCACAGTATAAGGATCAAATATGCTATTTTTTAATCTACAGTCCTTATTCAGATCTCACCAGTTTCCTTTGTAACAAAAGAAAATCCAAGTTCACTTGTTGCATTCATGTGTCATGTCTCGCTGTCTCCTTTAAGCTAGAACAGTTCCTCAACTTCTCTTTGTCTCTCTTAACCTTGCAGTTTTGTTAAATGCAAGCCAGTTATTTTGCAGAATGTCCCATAGTTTAGTTTTGTCTGATGTCTCCTCATGATTAGATTTGGGTTATGCATATTTGGCAGAAACACTGCAGAAGTAATTTTGTGTTTTCCTCAGTGCACAATTTCAGGAGGCATGAGATGGTGATTTGTCCCATTACATGTAATGCTAACTGGGATCATTTAGTTCAGGTGGTGCTTGTCAGGTTTCTCTACTGTCAAAGGAATGGTTTCCCTTTATAATTATTAACTTGTGGAGGCATGCTTTCAAACCACAGTCCTCTTCCTTCTCATACTTGCATCTGCTACTTTGACATCCAGGTGAATCATTATTTTACTGTGATGGTTGCCAAATGGCTATTGGCTAATTCTGTCTTTTCTTTACCATTTATTACTTCACTGTCTACTCTAACAAAGAGTTTTTCTTCTCTATGCATTCATTCATCATTCATTCATGTATATCAGATGTACTCATGGATTATTTTATTCAGTAGGTGGTTTGATGCTAAAATTATTCCAGATTTCATCAGTAGGAACCTCTTCAAGCTGGATCACCTGTCCGTTTGACATTTCCCCCATTATCCTATGAGCATCTTATATTTTCCTAGCCTTTTCCTGGAAACAGCCATTTCTTTAAGGAGCCCTGGTTCCTTTTAGTGGAGAATGGTATTTAGAACCCATCAGAGTAATACAGCTTCTAGACCTTATCGACTAACAGAAGTAGGATATAGATGAATGTTATATGAACACTCACATACATCTATATCTTTCTGTATATATCTATATACATTAAAACCATGAGTGCCCATGATGCTTCATTGTCAGTCCAGCACAACAGAGTTCATTCTAGACTCCCTGCTTTCTAGGTTTGTAGTTCACATCTCTGAAAGTGAGAAGTCTGCCTGTCATTATCTACACTGTATTTGTTTATTTGCTTAATCTTTATCTGTCCAGAGTGTTGTCTTGTAAAAGTGTTTTGATAAAAAATGTTTTTGGCACCCTTTTGCATGACACTAAGGGAAAAAATATAAGGGAAATTTCATGTTTTTAAATTTGAAATAAAAGTATGATTTTTTACTTTTAACTTCCTTTAATCTGAGCATTCCAGTATTGATCTCATTCTTATTTGGAAGTTTATTTACAATTCCACCCAATGTTTTTCCTTTTTTATGTTTTTCAAAAGCAATGTGTGCGTTTGGGTTTAGCTATACAGCAAATTCTAATCATTAATAGCAAGCACTTTTATTGAAAATATCCTAGTTATCTTTGTCTAGGGGCACTTTTTATTAGTAAGTATAAAAACGTAACCAAACCAGGATCAATATTACTTGATCATGTATCTGAAAAGTCCAAACATAAATTTGCTTTTGGGCACACTTGGTTCCAAGGATTCAAACAATGTCATCAGGACCCAGTCTCTATTCATTGCTTACCTTTATTCCCCTTGTCATGGCAAGAAGGATGCGTGAAGCTCTCGACTTATATCCTCAAACCTCAGTTGAGCACAAAGAACACAACTCTTTCATCAGTTAAGCACAGGTAATAGGAATAACTAACTGAACTGGATTTGCTCTGCTTGAGCATGTGCTCATTTATGAACCAGTCATGACCAGAGGATACAGTGATGTATTGGCCAGACCAAAGTCACATGACTTCTTGAGCCCCATCCAAACCACATGGAAAAATAAGGGAGGTATGGTTCACCAAAGAGAATTCAAGGAATTGTTAACAGAAGAAAGAATAAGCAAAACAACAAATGCTCAATATAGCTTTACATTCACCAACTCACTAGTTTGACAGAAAAAGGAGAGAGGATGCTCCTTTAAGGAAAAAAACAAAATGAACATCTATTACAGTGATTAAGCCTAAGTGAATACACATACCTTACTCCAAATAGGTTCTGCTTTGTGCATATAAATGCTCATTTAAAAAAGAAAACTAAAAAAATAATAGACTATTTTCATCTTTATACTGACCCAGATAATGTTACAATGTTGCCCTCCCTGATGTCTAGCAACCCAGTGCTTATAAAGTATTAAACTTCACAGTTGAAGAGAGATACTTAGATAAAGTATTACCAATCATTTAAAGAAGGCATTACGCGCTCTTTCTCCTACTATAGCAACACAGTCCTGGATATTAGGAATCTTGAGTATTTCAGAATATTTAGATTCTTGCCACAGCTCTTGAGTTATCTTTCTAGCTTAACCAGATATTATATATGGCCCTTAATTTTCTTATTGGTCAAATAAAATGTTCTTCCCATTCTGTGACTCCAATTCTAGTCCTCTGATCTTGCTTTTATTTTGTATGGATCATGGGGGACGGGTGAAGGAAGAAGATTAATTACATTGGCAAGAATCTGGACAGGAGAGTTGGAGAAAAGTTTGGACAAAAATACAGAGAAGAATAAATGAAGGAAATTTTTGAGGAATAATTATTGAGTATTGGGGGAGGATAGATTGGGAATTGTTAGGGATTGTTGCATAAAGAGTGATAAGACTGAAAAAGTAAATGTATACAGGGCTTTGAATGTTGAGAAATCTGGAATTTATTATCCATGTGGAAGGAAGCTGTGTTTTAAAATGATAATGCATAAAATGGACACAATAAGGAAAATTAGGAAATAGTAATAAGCCTTATAAAATATTATCAGAGCCTGAGGTAGAATGGTGGTAAAAGGAATGGTGCAGATACATTTCACAAATGGAATAAGAAACACTTGGTGGCCTGTTGGATTTGGGGATAAAGAGAAGGAAAAACTTGAAAGTGATTTTAAATTTTTGAGTCCCATATCAGAGAGACTAGGAATAACACTAACTGAATAGGAATATAGGAGAAAGAGGTTTAGAGGGTAGACAGTGAGCTTTGATTTTTGAATGTTAAATTCGAATTATTTGTAGAGTACTACCTTCAATTTTTCTACCCTGCCTAATGCGTATCTCTGTAACTGTACTTAACACATTATGTGATCATTTAAATCTATAACCTTCAACCTTGGCTGAGCCCTCATGATGCTTGATCAGTGTTTTTTTACTCTTTCTTACTCAGCTACCTTCCCTGCTTTCCTTATAAAGATAAGGTCCCTTTTCTATCAGCTAAAATTGTCTCATATTTTACAGAGAAAAAGTAAGACAATTAGGCTCAAATTTCTTTAGATTCTACCCTTCACCTCCAATATTATCAGACCTTTAGTTGTCTTTCTTTCCTCTATTCTCAGAAAAAGAAACGTTCTTTTCAGTGCTAATCCTTTTATCTAATATCTTTATTCCACCTCTTGAACAACTAGATGAGATAAATGTTTAAAGTATTTTTACATGTTTATTATATTTTACTGTATGTGAAGGAGCCATGAAGAGGGAATAATTAAAAAACATAAAACAAGCAAGGACTTAGGAGAAATGGGATAGTCAGGAGAGGCTGGCTTTGGAAACAAACAGAAAGATATTTTTTCTACCTGAGATGAATGGATAAAAATGTAAATCTATAAGTAATAAAGTACTAAGCTGAAGATGAAGGTATAGCAAGAATTTGATGCCTTTAATGTATGACAGAAAGACAAGGTACCAACTCAGGATGGTATCATCATCTTGAGAGCCAGCTCACAAAAGTCAATTGTTAAATATTCAAGAATTTTGTGAGCTGAATGTTAAACCATTGGTAGCTTGAGATCTGCCATGTGGGAATATTTACACCACAGAAATTGGCTACAAAAGGGGCTTTCCCCCAGTGAGCTTGCAGGATTTACTGGCGCGCTCCTGGAACGCTCCAGGGCTTCCACAAAGGCTGAGCCAAAAGGCTTCCCCAGATTCATGAAGATTAGCTTGCAGCTAGATAACATGTTTATATTTTTGACCTTGTCAAGCTTGTTTTGTGTTTCTCTCCAGGAAATCCCTACTGTAAAACAGAAAAGGTAGCTGGGAAGTGATCAAAGGGATGGAAATTAACAAAGTAGGCTTCAGGATAATGGATTTAAGATATTGAGGAAAGAAAAAAAAAAGGTTGGCATTGGCATGAGGGGCAGAGGCAATGTACTAGGAAGCTAATAGGGAGAAAATGGACTTAGTAAATAAACATGGAGGAATCATGATGTGAGAGGATTTTGATTGAAATATAGATACTTTCTTGTGAACATCATGAGGAAGAAGAAAGATGCCAGGCATGGGAGTTGTTTAGATCCCCATCTAAAGACTTCAGGATGAGGTCATACTCATAAGTAGAAGAGAGGGAAATATGTTGTAAAATAAAGGAAGGCAGTGAAATGTAAATTCCAAAGATCAAAAGGGTGGTAAGAGTATACTTTGAAGTTGGTTAGGAATGATGGTAGGCAATAGAGAGAGGCGGAAGAACATGAGCCAGTTATAGGGAGATAAAACTTGGAGCCAGTGGATAAGTTGGTCATTTGAAGAGGGCAGATGCACAAGTTTAAAATAATACAAAGCACAGGATGGATGGTACATCATGAACTCAAAAGGGCCCAAGAGAGCCCAGTTGCATTCACTCACCGAGTTGAGTAAATGTTTACTGACCAGTGGAAGTCATCCTCACCACTGGTGCTGCTGGGCACTCTGGCAGTGGCCACCTGAAGTGCCAGATTCCCCACAGGCAGACTAACCAACGGCCTCAGAGACATGTGGTCTGCGTTTAAGGCAAATCAAGGACACCAGTCAATGAGGAGAGAATTTTCAAATAACAATATTAAATATTTCCCCAATCAATAAAATACTTCTTCACCAATGGAAAACCATAGCATTATTGTACTTCCTTCTGCCTTCTTTATGGTTTCATATTATTTTTATGTTTAGTTATATGGAAGGTGTTGGGGTGAAAGGAGGGTTATGGGTATAGGCACTATACTCTTTTTGCTATGCTAAAGATTCTATTCTGGCCCTGCCTGTCTGACTGCAAGAAGATAGTAGTTTATTGGCTTTTTTTTTTCAGAAGAAGACCAAAATGTCTTTTCTGGATGGATAGAATCTTCATTTAAATGAGCAAGTGAGCTTGTGTGAAGAAAGAAAAATATAGATTTAACTTTCTTTATTAATACCTAAACTCAAGGGGCTTATTTTTATATATGTTTTCCAGTTTTTAATTAGAAAGAAAAGGGGAGAAAGGTGAGGTCTCTATGTCAAGTACTGCATGAATGTAGTACCCTGAAACCTGTCTTTAAGAAAAAAATAATGTATCTCAGAATGTACATAAATTAGAATTTGCACCTGTAAAGGGTAATAATTTGAAAAACTCTGGTTTCTGGTTTTTAGCTGTACAAATATATCTTTCTAATTACAGAATAAGAGTTGTTAGTATCAAGCAGTGAGTACAACTGGCCTAAAACCAATATAACTTAAAGCTAGCCGTAATTCTGTTGAAACTCCTCTTGACTAAAGTCTACTCTTTTTTGTAAATTCAATATAGTAATGCATTTGTTGAGTTTTCAAGCACTCAGATAAAAATGCCTTCATCCTTTACTATCCTTTGTGATACATTTTAAAACTTGATAAAAGTTAGAAACTATGTTCATTTTAGGTCGTTTTCCATACTACCACACAAATCAAACTTTTTTTTTTTGTCCTGTTCATGTTCCAGATACCATACTCCTCAGCATCTCCTGGGAATTATGTAGTAAGTACATTTGGGTTTCTTTGCTCATAAGAATTGATGTTACGTTTTATTTGGGCAATGAAATGGTTGTCCAGATGTTAAGAAGAGCCCTTGTGTATTGGCCAAGAAGCGAACATCTGATTTGTATGGAGTTGTTTCATCTGCCAACCTCAGTACATATGTTGATGTTCATTAGTGAAACAGTTATCAATCTGGCCAAGATTGCCCTGAGTACTGTGTCTTACTTTAGCATATGTTTCTGTAAGCCAGCACAGTGCACTCTGCCCAATCATGAGGAAGCCATCCCCAGTTACACAATGATGTGCTCGAATTTGCAGTTGTTCAGGAGAATAATCTGCACCCGTACTTCACTCGCCACACACAACGTCTAAGCAGACATTCAAGTCTCCCAATCACAAAAAGAATCAAATGGCAGAATAATGAGTAGTAAGGGGGGATTTTTTTATTCTTAGAAATTGAAAACACTTATTTTTCTTGTTATTATTACTTAGAACATATTAATTTTTAAAAATAATTTATATATAGTCAAATTGGCAGATTTCACATGAGCACTTGACCTTACAGATGACCTTTTAACCATCATTACATTATAATTAACCCTTGCTGCATCTCAAGGCCGTCATGGGACAGTTTGTTATATTACAGGGTGGAGACCAGTAGTTCACAGTTGTGAGTATGTGACACAGTTTATTCTTGTATTATTATTTATTAATAAATGTGTTATTTTTCATATGAACAACTGTAAACTTATGTGCCCCACCCTGTATTTAGAGGAAATGCCTAACGCAGAAGCAAGTATAAAATGGTGAAAGGGAAATCTTTCCTGAAGAAATTTTCAGAGGTGGTGGCTAACTGGAATAGGAAAAAAGGAGGATTTTATTCTCTATGGAAAGAGTGTTTTATGAACATAGTGAAAAAAAGCACACACAGCTTTGGACCTGTGAACTTAGTGCTCAATGGAAATTTCCATAAATCATACAAACTAAGAAAGTCTCATGTTTTGTTTTGTTTTTTACATTTTCTATGAAACAAAAATTAAAGAAAATTCGGGTAAAATCTTTTTTTTCTTAAAGTCACTTTGGAATAAACTTGAGATATAGTTTTATGAAACTGTAGATGTTTGTTAGAATAGGAATTTAACTTGCTCATTAAATAGAAAATATGGCCCGGCTGCTGTGTTTCAGTGGATTGAGCATCGTCCCATGGACTGAGAGGTCCCAGTTCGATTCCTGGTCAGGGCACATGCCTGGGGTTTCAGGCTCAATTCCCAGTAGGGGGTGTACAGGAGACAGCCAGTGGATGTTTCCATCTCTCTCTCCCTTCCTCTCTCTCTAAAAAAAATCAATAAAAATTAAATAAATAGCAAATACGGGTCATTTGAAATAATTATTTGACTGCGTCTACACATTCAGACTGAAGTGAAATTTTAGCCACTGTATAGTTATTTTGACTACTGTACATCTGAAAAATTTTGAAACCCATTACCTGAATTATTGATTTGGGGTGTCTGAAATCACTGACTAATTTTAGAATTACCTAATCTCCACTTCAGATTGATTGTGTAGCTGCAGCCTTAGTAACCCACCGCGCTGGTCAGCACTGCCTTTCATGCTGTGATGTGCTAGATGAAGGTGCAGTGCTCCAGAAGTTTGGCAGTTGATACTGACAGAAGAAATAGAATCAATGTAATTTTTAAACATATAAATATCTTTTGGCTGTTAGTTTTCTATAAAAGCCACTAATACAAAATATAAGAAGATTATAGTAAACTACATCACAAATACACATGAATTACTTCTCTTGTATGGATTTGTAAAGACCTTATTAAATGATAACTCCTTGACCTCATTATACTTGGTGTGATTAAGTCATGAATAATAAATCAGTGTTACAGGCTCATTGTTTTGGGAAATGTGTCAAAACAATCTCAACATATTTAAGCTACATTATATTTTGCATAAGAATGAAATGATTGTGCATTAAAAGAAAATAAATTATGGAGAAAGTTAATTTCCTCCATTATTTTCAAATTATATTATTATTACGTCTAACTTTTCCACTGTTTTTCTTTATATGATTTAATGAAATGCCTTATTTTTACTGAAATTCTGTATAATTATTTAGGGTCCTCCGGGAGGTGGAGGGCCACCAGGAACACCCATCATGCCTAGTCCAGCAGGTATTGTACTCAAACTAGCCACATTGGCATTTGTTTATTAGAATAAATAGAGAAATTGTTCTGCAAGTTAGTGGTAGTCATTGTCTCATTGATGGATGCAGAAGTGGAGGTAGCAAGTAGAAAGAAATCGTGTTCATAAACAACTGTTATCCAATTACTTCAAGCATTTAGAAAATTTCTGTTGTGCAGGTAACATATAACCAGAATGCAAATTGTGCTGATCTATATGAATTGTCCAATAATTTATCTGACTAAAAGATTTGAGACTGAAAAAGATCCAAATTTCAGAACTTAGAAAAATTCTGCATAAGTAATACATAAAATAGATTAATCCATTAGGTTTAATATAGTAAATCAGACCCACCAATCTATTATCTCACAAGGATAGATGTAGATGTGCCTACAGTATTACTGATTCTACTCATCTACAGGTATTTACTAGTTAGCTAATAGATCCACTATGTAGTGCGGAAAGTTTTTTTCTAATCTTCTGAGCTAAAATATCTCAGTATTCCTGTAATCATTTAATGTAACTATTTTAAAACGCATTTTTCTTTCTTGTTGAGACTTAATACAGACTATTAAGTGTGTCATGTCTTGAAGACTTTAACGGTGGCAGTTTACGTTGGCACAGCACTCCTACAACGTGCCCTGGCAACGAGTATCAAGAGCCATGAAAAGTCTATACCATTTGACTCTATAATCCTACTACTAGAAATGATTAGACATACAATCTATTTATTTACGTGAAGGATGTTCATTTGTTATTGTCAATAGTGAAACAGTAGATACAACCTTCATACCAAATCTAATGTTAGTGAAAGTAATTAATTAATTTTATGTAATATAACGTAAACATTAAAATTGTCACCAACAATGTTTACATGTAGAATAAATGGTCACAATTCAATACAGTATGATCACAACTTTATTTTACACACATATAACAGAGAAATCTAGAAAGTAGAAAACAAAAAAAGTAGTCTAAGACTTTACTTCTGGGTAATGAAATAGAAACTTTTATCACTAGAAACAATTATTAATGATGTTACACTGTTAAATTCATATGTTTTTAACTGATTTGTTGAAGTCTAAGATATATATAGAAGCTGGAAATTAAATATCATTAATTATACCAATAAGTAATTATTTTTAAGTTTTGAGTCTTTCTAAGTTAGAAAAAGCATAAATTTAATAATTAATGCAAATTTTACCTTTCTTCACTATTTGGAATATATCATTAATATTTCATAAATCTCTGTCCTCAGAGCATCTTTATTGAAGCAAAACAGAATTCATTGAAGATAGAATTATGTGAATTGAACATCTTGCCCACATTTGCATTTCTATTTGCTGAAGTATATTTATGAAAGTAGCTTGTAACTAATAAACACTTCAATACTAAATGAAACTTTTTTGAGAAACACAGCTTTGCAGGTGATACATAATTTGATCACTCCCTTTCATGCTAGCTATTGCCATCAGTATATCTTTCTGTCCTTTTGCCTATTTTTTTATATACTCATTCTTTATCACAGCCATTCTTCTAATAGGAATCCAAAACTCCCTCCCCCTCAAAACGATACATTTATTACTTTTAAGTTTTTCTGTATATAAAAAAAAGAAGTCAGGTATTTCATGGGTAATACCAGATTTATTCCCTCAATACTTTTGCTTTTTCAGGTGAAATTATATTCTTGATTAGTCTTAAAAACAACATGTTTATTTTTCTTTCTGCATACTTAAAATATAGAGCCCATTTTCCTTTTGAATTAATTACTAAAATTAGTAAATAAAATTAGTAAGACTAATCCAGGTGAAAAACCATTTAAAGTTTTCCTGTGTTTAAAAATCAATCCAAGATTTTCTGAAAGCTAAGTGTTTATGGTATAGAATGTATTCTATTAGTTAAATTAGCAGATATTTATTGTCTGAAGTACACAACATTAGTTACACTTGTTCTCTTTCCCGCTCTCCATGGACTTACTATAACCTAGTTGGAAGAAGGAGAGAAGAATAAGACAAAATACTAACTATAATGCAAAGCAGAATTCAGTGGTGGGGGAGGTTCAAGCACTTGGAAGTATCAGAAAAAAATACTTTAAAGCATTTTCAGTGTGTCTTGAATAGTGAGTAACATTTCAGTGGGCGGTGATTGGATAGAAAATGCTTGGAGATGAAAAAGGTTGATCATAGGCAGGAGAGAACAAGTACCTTGGGTTGATAGGAGTATGGCATACATAAAGATGTAAAAATAGTTAAGGCCACAAAAGTACTTTACTCAATATAAACAAATAGAGGTCAACCTGAGGTGGGCATTGCAACTTTTTCAGCAGTATGATGCAGTGATTTTCAACTGGTGCGCTACAAGAATTTTTAAAACATACAATACCTGATTATTTAGTCAGGGGCACTGACCTCTTTTCCCTTAGATTTTCAAATTAAAAAATGACGACAGCCAACACAATAGCCATCTGATATTAATGAATCAAAATTATATATATTTTTGGTCACAATAGCAAAAATTTTTTTTTTTTTTTGGTGTGCCGCAGAATTTTAGTAATTAGTTTATGTGTGCCGTGAGTAAAAAGGTTGAAAAATTGCTGGTATGATGTATTAATCTAGAAGTGAAAAATATTTAGATGTATGGATCACTGTTTACAAACAACCGATACATGACATCTAAATTATTGTGTAAGTGGCATGCATTAAAATAATAAACTTATTAATGTCTAATAAATAATCACAAAATAAGAGGAAGAGTCATTGCTCATTTCTCACTCTATGGTTTTGCTGTGAGAAAGCAACTGATTTTTAAAATTTGAAATATCTTTTTCAAAATAGAAAGGCCTACTACATGTATTTAAGAAAACTGTAATTATAGGAAATTTTCTTATAATTAATATATCCTAAATGTAAAATATTTAACTTTTTACTCTAGGTTATATATTATAAAAACATTTATTTATACTTAATTAGAGTTATCTAATAGACATGCAATGTAAATTTTTAAAAATTCTATAAAACGTTACATATATTTATATTGATATACACTACAGTTATTTTATTATAATGACTCAAGAATAAAATGAGAAAAAAATTTGTCAAAAAATTGTATTGGAAGAAGCTGGCTTTTACTTCAATTAAGAGAATTTTCAATCAATTTTATAGTTTTTGTCTACTCTCCTGTTGGAAATAAACCAGGATATTTCACTAGCTTTCACTAATTGTTAGCTAAATAAACTATTTTTTAATTGGTGTAAAGAAAACTAAGGAAACAATGAAAACTGAAAAGCTACTGAATCTGAATTTAAGAGATTTTTATTATACATATACATATAAATTGCTTAGAGAAGTCAAAGACATCCATGATTATTTCTAAGGTTTTTAAAGTTTATTTTAGAATTTCAATTGTTTAGATTTTTAAGGTTATTTCTCTTTTACGTGAGTTATTCAAGTGATTACTCCTAATGTATTAGATAAATATTCTTAATTTACAACTTCATAGTAATGATTCTGGGTCGGAACATTAGTAATGGCTATTTCAAGTGCTGCAGCTATTAATATGTAGGTGTCCAGATAATTTTCTATTACTACTTTGTGACGACTTGGGTATAGATTATATACCCAAGAAAGAAATTAATTTAAAAATATTTTGTTTCAGATTCAACCAACTCTGGAGACAACATGTATACTTTAATGAATGCAGTACCTCCTGGACCTAACAGGCCTAATGTAAATATGAATTTATTTTTTTATTTTTTTGTAATGTATTTGAACTAAAACTCATAGTGCATTCCATTTCTTGGATACTCTTTAAGCCTTCTATTTTATAATCCAGGTGCTTATTGGACATCAAGAAACATGTATAACAAAAGATTTCATATCACTATACTTTAAATGTGAAAGTGAACCTAATTAATTATAAAATGTGGTGTGTAGTCTTATCTCAAATACCTAATAATTAATACTATTTGAAAATGCCAGGTAATGTATAATTGTTCATGTTACCTCATTTAAGCATCACTAATTTCTTCTTGGGATCCTATTTCATTTTTTTTCCCTGACAAATGACAATAAATGAGGAAGTTGGGTATGCTTGTTTTTCTTTAGATTTCGAAATCTAGAGCTTACACATGGAACTGAGGCAGATCTGCTGGAAGAATTGGGGTGTTTTAATAAAGCATATGGTTGTGATTTTTCCACAAAAGCTTACAGAAAAATATTTATGTATGATACAAGACCTACATGTTAACAAACAATATTTATAACATAATGTAGTTATTTCATAGATATATACATATAAATATAAGGTAGTTCAAATTACAGAAAAATCAGAAGACATAGAAGAATTTTCATAAGTATACTGAAAACGGACAATGAAATGATTATTATAATTGAGCTTCCTAGCAGTGAAGACAGCAAAGGGAAACTGTAAATCTGTCCAGTCTGGAATGGTGCTTGAAAATGGCCAGTCCACTGAGATGTGCTGTCAGTACAAAATACACACTGGGTTTTGAGGACTTGGTATGAAAAAAATGATGTAAAATATTACATTAAAAGTCTTATGTTTACACTATGTTGAAATGATAATTTTGATGTATAGGGTAAATAAAATATATTATTAAAATTAACTTCACCTGATTCTTTTTACTTTTTAAACATGGCTGCTAGTAAATCTAAATTTACTCATGTAAGTTCACATTGTGGCTTGCACATTATTTCTGTTAAGCAGTACTGCCTTCAGTTATCACTGCTCTCTTTATATAATCAAATAGATTGTTTGGGGGGAAGATAACAATTTCCTATAAATTTTGTCTAAAAGGTGTTTTCATATCAATCTTAAAGAACATTGAATATGATCATGAACAATGTTCATTTTAGAAAGTCACAAAGAAAACAGAGAAAAGCTCTTTATACTGCAATTTCATGTCTTAAAACTTGATACTGAAAGGGAGGGAGCAAAGGAAGGAACTAAGAGCGTATGGTATGAAGACATTTCTGGGGGCAGCAAAGCTGATATCGTCCAAGTATGTTCTACTCTGGTTCTCTAACTCCATCCAAAGATAAGAAATCCAAGAACAGTAGGTGAACATGTCACTTTTTCCAGTCATTCATCTCAGCCAGAGGTAGTAAAAACAAATTCCTGCTGAGGGCCAGGTCTGGACTTTTATGTGCTTCAAGGGTATATACCTACAGTCTGTGGGGGCCAGAGAAGACCCAACTAAGTTCACAGACTCTTGGCCCCACCAGCACCAGGTTCTCAGCCTAGAACTATACTTTTGACAAAAGTTGAATATAACTAAGTTCAAAGTTAATTTTTTGACCTATCATTTAAGGCATAATTATTCCAAGTTGTTTACTGAAAATCAACCCATGTGCTTTTAGGCAAAAAAAAATTTAGGAAACAGAATTGACATTATCTTTAGAAAATGTGTAAGCATGTGCCTTGTATGATCAGAGATGACGGATAGCCATCTGATTTCCACACAGAGGTGACAGTATATAGATTGTCTGCCGAGGGGAATTGTTTTCCCCAAAAGCCTGTGCGATCAGTAACTACCACCACCCGATTCACACACATAAACACACATACACGTGCACATGCCACATTCAATGTTCTGCAACATGCAACATGGAAGAAATGCTTTTGGCATGGGAAATTTTCATCAAGTTGTCTTAACTGTGAAGATGATTATAGATAACTCATCCTCAGACTGGGGTCGGGGTTTCCTTGGTATCTCAGAGAGATGAGGGAAAGAGTGAGTGGGCAGGCCATGAACTCACCACCACCAGCTCTGCCACAGCACATCTGTTGACACCTGTTTTTTTTACCAGGCTTCTAAAGTAAGATTTCACTTGAAAATAAAATAAAATAATGACAGAGCTTTTTAAAATGTTAATTATAATTACTATAGAATGTTTGTCATTGAACTACGTAGTTGAGAATGCCAAGAAGAATTAGTTATATTCAGCTATCCCCAAAGAGCTAAATGTACAGAGTGGGGCCAATGTAGGTGTACAGTTGTGAGTACGCAAAACACAGAGTTTATTCTTGTATATTAATTATTGTATTATTATCTATATGAACAACTATAAACCTACTTTTGCCATACCCCATATTTAACCTATAAGCTATTAATCATCTTTAGCAGCTTTGTAAAAATCACCTCTTGTTTGTAATAGCACAGTTTGTCCACAGCATAGAAACACGGGATGTGTATGCTTTCTACTTGAGGATGTCTGAAGAAGAAACATTTGGTTATGAACAAGGATCAGTCTGACGATGCAAACAGAGAGTATGGGAGACAGAACAGTCCAGTTAGAAACTCTACAATGCTGGAAAAAAAACTGGGGAAATAATCTCTATAACTTGAAAATGAAAATAACTTGTAGAATTGTCTTAAAATGTTAAAGACAGACATTGAAACATTGCTATAAAACACTGTTTTCAATGTCATGATCATTCTTTTCTTCGTTTTTTACATAGTTTCCGATGGGCCCTGGTTCAGACGGACCCATGGGTGGACTAGGAGGAATGGAGTCACATCACATGAATGGCTCTTTAGGTAAGGACATTACATTTGATGTTTAGAAATAAATTCACAACAAAACCTTAATTCTACATAGGTGGAAATTACGGTTTGCAAAGTTCTTCTGTATATAGAAACTCGTTTTGAAACACCTCAACTTTTACCTCGCCTTGATAGTTTACGGTATAGTGTGTGTGATGGCCGGAGAGCATCTGAAAATCAGAAATGTGAGATCCGTTCTAACCTAGCTCGTATCCACAGGTACTTACTTTAACCTACCAAAAGCTGAGTGTTTTATGATAAAAGGAGACTGCTGATTTGGACATGTGTCATGCACACCTTGCCTGCAGGACTGCAGTATCCTCCCAACTGGTTTCATTGTTTCCAAAGGTCTAGTGATATAATCTCAGAAGAAATTTAGTTCTCTGTAAGAATTTCTTCACTTTTTTTCTGTATTTGAATGTTTGTCTCTATTTTAAAATAAAATTGGTATCATATTCTGGGTAATCTTAATGATTCTCTTAGGAGAAAACACTGCCCACATTTTTTTGTGTTCAGTGATAAAGTTGATTTCAAGGAGTGTGACTTGAAAACATACTTCATAAATGATGCCTTCTTGCCAAATGAAGCCAAATATCTGCATGGTGAACAGAGTTTCAAAATAGTGATAAACAAAAGACAAATGGTACAAAATTGACTAGGTCACAGAGCAAAGATCTGATTATTGATTCTTTATACCAAGAGATATAATATATGACTTCATTTCTTAAATAAGAAATTAGTATTGGTTATTTATTTCTTCCAAGAATCAAAATAAAACTATATTATAATTTGAAGACATTTTTACTTTTGATAGATTGCCGTGAATATTGATTACTGTCAAATATGTGATATTTTAAAAAATACTTTGCTTTTTGTTATTATATTAAATGTGGTTCTGAATACTGTTAGGTATTGTTTTAATTGTCCACTTTACATTTTATCAGATTTAGAAACATAATGTCAGGAAATATATTTAGAGATTTCTCTCTTGCTCTCTAGTTAAATACACACACACACACACACACACACACACACACATATATACACATACACATATACCTACATTTTAAAATTTTGAGTTGAGTAATATATATAAATCTCTCCATTGTTTTACTTTCAGGAATTTATGATAACAATGGTTTTATTTATTCTGCCATTACAAAAAAGAAAAAAACCTAAATAATTGGGAAATAGAGATACAACTCTTCCTTGCATTTGCCATCAAGTGGATACTTATTTAGCAAACAGTGTTAAAATAAAGGACTTTTTAAAGATTAAAAATTCAGGAGAGCCTTGGTCAGTTTGGCTTAGCAGTTGGAGCATCAGCCAGTGAACCAGAGAGTCTCAGGTTCGGTTCCCACTAGGGGCACGTACCAAAAAAAAAATTCAGGAGATGTACATAAAACTACAGCAAAAGTATGCTACATTACTTTATATTAAAGAAATACTTAATTTATCAGTGAAATCACTACCTAATGAAGGCTTTCTTTTTTTACTTTGTTTTAGGCTCAGGAGATATGGACAGTATTTCCAAGGTGGGTACTGTACATTCTGTGTTGTTTTTTGTATGTATTTTATTTCACATAGAACTCTCATTAAGATTATTAGAGTCACCTTATAAGTTTTGTTCTTGAACAAGAGTTTGAAAGTAGAAGGCCAGATATAATTAACTGCAAGTTTAAAATATTAAGATATATAATCTGTGGGAAAGGGTAAAAGTGAATGTTTGCAAATGTTTCTAAACATGCTAAGGTTCATTTATAAGATGTTCTACTATACCTAATAATGGATACCCAAGTAATAACCAACTGAATCATGTTATGATGTTACCTGTTTGTAAGGCAAACTGACATAGTGTAGGTAGTCTTTTAAAAATGTTAAGAAGTCTAGAGAAACATGAAAAGAGGTGAATTTGAAAAAGTGATTTTATATGTTGTAAGGGCACTGCATTTGTACATCTCATTTGTCTTTCAGACCTTCATTAGACAGTGCTGATGTCCTCAATCATTATTCTAGTTCCCCAAAATAGATTAAGAAAATAATTAGAGGAAAATTATAGTAACACAAGTAGGAAAGTAAGCCTTCTAATAGCATGTGTCTGCATTTTTCTTCAAGAGTTTGAGTATCTAAAATTAATCCTTTGCTAAGATGTCTTCTGTTTTTTGAAGAGGAGTACCTAAATACTTTTAGGTCATGATGAATTTAAAATAGTTCTCTGTGGATCAAAAATATATTTAGAATGGCTGATAAGAACTAATTATTAACTATCACTAGAATGACTCTCTTAGAAGTCTGCATTATATCAATAAATACAGAAATTCATCAAAGGATGACTTCATTTTTAATTCTACTTCTAATTTATATTCATGTATAATAATGTAAAATTTCTGACACCAAGGAAAATAAAATAAGATTGAGCTACAAAGCCTTTTAAATTAAGGCTTCAAGCGAAAAAGAAAAAAAAAGTGAGAGAGAGTTTAATTGGCATTCTGACATTAAACCTACATCACCTGCTTATAAGCACTACATACACTTTGGATGTCTGTGTGTAGAAACAATCAGGAAGGTCTTTTTGTTTTCTAAAAATAGATAAATATGTATAATGGCACTGCCTTCTGTGAGAAATAGTATTAGGTAAGCCTTCAAAAAGCCTATTTTCAAAATCAGATTCACTGTATAATTCCATTCGAGCCTTTTCTCGGGGAAGCTCCTTTACAAGTCAGATGGCTGTGATGACATCAGCTAACCTTAGACATCTAACAACCGATGTTAGCTGAGTTGTGCTTTGTGGTGAGCAGTGAAATTTCTCGTTATATTTGAGTAGCATAGCCTGGAATCTGAAGAGGAGTCTTCATTGCACAAAAGTGGGATCATCCAGATTGCTTAAGGCCATCTTCCTAAAATTTCCACTAACAACCCGTAACCTTGTACATTAGATAAATGTAAACAGTTCTGTATGGGAGAGTACTTGATGATTTATAAAGTATTTTAAATTTCTTAAATAGTGCCATAAGGACAAATTAAATTCCATCTTCTAATCTTCCCTCATATCAGGTCTATTGCTGTTCCTTCTGTGCTTATTCTCCCATTTCGATTCCCAGAGACAAATTATTTTTCCACTACACACAGTACCTGCTGCTGCTAACATTCTCTTGCCTAATGAGGTATTGCTTATTCTTTAAGCATTAATTGACCACCCATTGTTTACTGTGGTACTGCCTTATGTACTATGGGGAGATATGAAAGACTTCTTTAAATACAAACATAATCTCTGCCCTCAAGTGGTTTACACGTAGGCAGCAGTTCCTTCATTCAGTAAACATCAGTGCACCAAGGCATTATTCTGGGCTCTCAAAATCCAAAGATAAATAAGAGAAGGTCTCTGAGACCAAACAAATACAATAAGGAAAACCTTTTCCAAAGCAGAGTTAAAATACATTTCAAGTAACATAATTATCTCCAAGTAATCTACATATCACTCCGCAATGCACTAGACATGACTAGTTGCATCCACCTTCATATGAGCTTCTAAGCCACTCATTCCTGCACCACCAACCCCAGGCTGTCTGGGCCATGGGGCCATTAGTGCCTGTCACATCTTCAGCACTCTGTAGTGACTTTTTCTCTCAGCAGCAGCTTGTGTGTTCCCCCACCCCCAGTCATTTTTCTCCCTACCTCTTTCCACTGACAGCCTAGTGATTTGTCTTTTACTCCAAGCTACACACACTGTCACTAACTCAATTTCCCACCTTCCTTTTCCAACACTTGTCCAGCTGTCTCACAAAACTCTTTCCTCCCTTTTTTCTTTTTTCCTGGGTTTGTTCCCTTCCATCCTATTCTTTTCCTAGACATCCTTGTGTGTGAATCAAAAGATAATCTTGACTGCTACTGCTTAGCAGTTTGGTTCAAAATCCCTCTTAGGTCTCCAGTTACATCTTCCCCAGTTACCCAGTTAAGCCTGTATTTTATCAAGCATATATATTTTTTTAATTTCTTACTCCATTTTAAAATGTTTATTAGTACTATTTCAATGATTTTTCTACTTTTACTGTAAATATACTCTATTTTATATGTAAGGTGAGGAGTACTGAATTGAGAATCAGAAAGCCTGGTTCTACTACTGACAAGTTTTGGCAACTTGTTACTTCTCTTAGGCTTTGTTTTCCTGGCTCTAAAATGGAGCTTGTAGTTCATTTCTTACCTAGTTTATAAAATTGGTGAGAATCAAGTGTGAATATATGCGAAGGGCTATGAAGCACTGTACAGATAGTAAATATGTCCCTCCTCATTATACTGTTTTGTGGGCAAGGCTAGGAACTGACACGGTCAACTCTGCTTTGATAGCACTGTTCGCTGGCGACACGAGCTCAGCACTCCAGAGTAGCTTTAACATGACTGCTCGCTCAGCCGAGGATTATTCAGTAAAACTCACATGCATCTTTCTGAAAAGGCAGAATTCACCTTTAATTTAGGAGCCTATTTTTTTTAAATGAAATGTGAAATTCTTGTCATCCTTTTGCAACTGAGAAGCCATTCATTTAATCAGTGGAACAAAAACTTTATGCCTTGGAGTTGTTTTAGGAGTTGGAGGTAGAGGAGCATATGGTTTGTTTTCTTAGAAGGAACTCACCTAAATAAGTTCTGCAGTTCACATTAAAGATACTTAACATTTATATTTTTGAGATTTGAAGTGAACATATCAGAAGGCAAGATCTTATCATGTCATGCTTAATAAATTATCAAAGGAGTCTTTTCAACCGAACCTTTCTAATCTCATGAAGCTTAGTTCCAGTTAAATATTCCACACCATTCACGGGGCTGCCAATCGACAGATCTCTGCCATCATCTCAGTTGTGGGCCTGTGTCCTAGCTCATGTACCCCCTGGGAGGTCCAGGGCTGGCAGTGGGTTCTTTTGGGTAGATGGCAGAGTCAAAATGACACTCTATAAACCTTGTTATTGGCAGCGTGTGAGAAATCAATTCCAAATTCACTTCCAAAGGGCTTAGAATAATGTCAATATTATTTTCTTCCAATTATTGAGAGAGCCCAAATTTCTACAAGTGTTTTTTTAATAGCAGTCTGAAAGTTTTGGAACAATTTCTGGGGATAGATGGAAGAAGGAACAATAACTTACTAGTTAAGAGATGATATGGGAGAATAATTGCAAGATAAAAATCAAAGATTAGAAAGCTAAATGAATTAGATGTGTTAGCCAGAAGAAATTGTGTGTGTGCACACCCACACACAGGCGCATGTGTACTTAAAAATAACATTTGTGTATGATGTCATAGCTTAAGTAAGGGAAACATTCCAGTTTGAAGAAAGGGCGAATGAGAATGTAATAAAATCCCTTGAAAATGGGATCAATATAATTTTAACTATACTTTTTCAAGCTAAATTCTTGGAGTATAAGTGGGAAATACAGTTACACATTAACTGAAGTAAGAAATGCAGCCAAAATGCCTAATGCTGTTAGATGTAGTTTTCACTTGTATTCTTTTGTGCTCCATACTCCCTCCCTAATTATGTGCTTGAGCAATTGGAGTGCCTTTTTGACCAACCTAAGACCTATTTGTGCATAATATTCTTGCCTTTATGATAAAATCTCCTGGACACTGCACACAAACATACCTACAGTTAAATGAAATATACACCCAGTTTATTGCCACCTGCCCTCATAACCTGCTCCAGCCTGATGTTTCGAACCTCTGTCTTACCTTCTCAGATGCCTATGTTGAGTGTAACTTATCTTCATCATGTCACTCAGTGATTGTGGGCAGCGCAATCTCAAGACTCCCCACTGAGAAACTTTTGTTGTTTTCACAACATTTTTCAGAGATTACTTCAGATTTTTTAAAAATTGTTTTATCATTTCAAGATTTTCAAATATGCTCAGTGAGCGAGATAGGGGCTGGTTTCAGAGATCTGATAATGGTTTAGTTTTGTATGTGGAATGTGTCCTTTTTTAAAAAAATTTTTGCCTTTATTGATTTGGTTTTTTTTTGTTTTTTTTTTAGAGAGAGAGGAAGGGAGAGGGAGAGAGAGAGAGAGAAACATCGATGGGAGAGGACATCGATTGGCCGCCTCCTGCATGCCCCCCACTGGGGATCGGGCCCACAACCTGGGCATGTGCCCTGACCAGGAATCAAACCAGCAACCTCCTGATGCATGGGTCGATGCTCTGAACCACACTGGCCAGATGGAATGTGTCCTTTTAATCTTCCTCTCCGTGTCTTCTATAACCCCACACAGAGAGCACAATGCTGAGTCACCATGATATGAAAAGAATGCATGAAAAACAAAAATAATGACACTGGAAGTGTTTTATAAACATTTCTTCTAAATATTCTTGTGAATATTTCTTTCTAAATATTTAAATAGTAATGCAATATTACTTTCCAATTTAAATATTTTTAAATCAACACTCTGAGTCAGGAATCAGATTTGAAGTTAGATAAACTTTCAAATTGTAAATCAGGAAATGAGCTACGGCGAAAGTGCAGCGGTGTGAGAACAGCCCAACTTAACCAGAGACGTGCCCTCCTCAGGGCCCCTCGGGAGCTCCGAGGGTGTGAGTGTCGCACCGGAATGCAGGGGGCGTATTGCATAGATTTGTTTGAATATGTAGACATAGTCAGCTGCCAAGGGCATCCTCATACACCCTTATATAGATGCTATATTCTTTTTTATTCTGAGATTGCCAGTTTTTCCCTATGTATGAAATGACAGAAATCTGACCTCCCCAAAAAGGCATAGATTTGAGGTACATCTTACAATATTTGCGTAAATTTACTTTTATTTTTGAGCGAAGTCAGCATTCCCATTCCTATTTCAAAACACGGTTATTAGGTAATAACTTTAATAATGAATAACTTAGTTACACTTAATTAAATTTTACTTAACATGTTTTTTTTTTCCAGGAAATCAAGTTACCCATGTTCATTTCAAAGTACATTTTGGTTTTCTATATACTTGGTAAACTAACATTTTTAGAGAAAAATTTATCCTAAATAAAAAGAGTTGTCTTTCTGCTGTTAAATGTGGTTCCCCAGCGGGGTCACTGGCAGACCCGGCTCCTGTGGGTGCAGAGGCTCCTGGTTGTCAGACTCACTGGTGCACAGCAGGCCAGCACACAAGCTGCATCCCCCCCAGTTTATCTCCCTGTGTCCACTTTGCAGTTTAACCATATTTTTTAAAAGCACACATTCTCATTCACAAAATTTTAATTTTTTTATGACGTAACTTGGTTTTAGTTCAGTCAAATCCTCAGTGCAGTTTTCTTTTAAACGGCTGAGAACGTATTCAGAAACAATGCACAATGTCAGTGGCAAAGGGAAAAGAATCTGAAATTGTTCTCTCACTTGAAACAACAAATAAAAATGTTTAATCTTGAAGTTTATTGTTACAAGTCGATAAATTGGACCTGGAAAGAGTCCCCCCGTGACAGTTGCGGGCTGTGTGAACGTGCGTCACAGGCCATGCCATTCTGTTGGTGTTTCCTACAGATGTAGAGTATGACGACCTCCCAGGGCCAAAATTGTACAGTAACACTTAGACTAGCAAGTGTAACTAGAATGTGAAGTGATATACTGCTAACTTAGTGTTTGACTAGATTGTTATATCAGCCATTTTATCTTAAAGGAATGTTTCAAAGTAAATCTGCTGTTAAACTAATGATAGAAAAAAGTTCTAAAACAGGTTTACCATGGAGTCTTTTTTTCTTCTAAAAATACATATTGAATTCTCAGGTCCTAAGGTATTTTTCTCTTGTTCTTAACTTCAGTTATTAACTATCTTCTGTTTTTTCTTATGGTTCATATGAAAATAATGGTTAAAATAGTGTTACTGTGCAAACCACATGTGGAATTAAAGGGAAATGTTTATGAAAACGGTGACCTTTTGAAGTTTGATTAGTAAAATGACGAAGGCAGTTGTTCCATCATGCCTGATCAGGAAGCAGGTCTCTTCGTCATGCGCCTGCTGGGGATGGTTTCTAACTCCCCACTGTTCTAGGAACTCTATAAACTGAGGGGGGAAATGGAATAAATATTGATTCTGAGACTAAGAAAAAGAGTTGTGGTGGGTTATTTTGGGTGTTCTGTGTATTTTTTAATTTTCATTTGGAAAAGCATTAGTACTTGTCAAGGTTCAAAGAATGAACTAGAAAACATGGTCTAAGATTAGAATCACAAGTCAGCTTTATCCTTAGAGATGCTACTATAGATTCCGTTTTTGAAACAGTACAATGCAAGAGGGAAAGTAAAATCTTCAACATGCCTTGTTTTCTAAATCTTGTTTACAGAATTCTCCCAATAATATGAGCCTGAGTAATCAACCGGGCACTCCAAGGGATGATAGCGAAATGGGGGGAAATTTCTTAAATCCTTTTCAGAGTGAGAGTGTAAGTATTCCATTGACTACATTATTATATCCAGATTTTATTTTTGAAGCTCTTCTATTAGAATTATGCATAAAGCCATTATTACCACTGTTTAGAGTTCAATAGGTTGATCTTTTAAAAGTTAGAAAATTAAGTGCAATTTCTTTGAAAAAATTGAAAAATAAACTTTTTCTTTTTTACTCCCATGTACATAGTTGCAAAAACAAAAATTATAATATCAATTTTCTTACAGAGAACATCCACTGTTAAGGAACCCACTGGAAATAGGTTGCATATTTCATAGTTTTTATAAGTTGTCACATTACTAAAATGTCTTGGATCACTGCAAACCCAGGTCTGTTATTAATGCTGTCCTTAAGGCTCTGAAAATTATTCATAAAATGTCTTTACTTATACTAGACCTCACTTCCTGGTCTGTTAACCTTTTTTTTTACATTTAACCTGAACTGGCTACCCAAGCTCTTTTTCGAGTGTGAGTATAGTGTTCAGCAAGGGCAGTAACATTCATATCTCCATAGAAGTAGACAGGAGCAAAATGAGAAGCAATAAAATTCACTTGTTTATCTACCAGATACTGAGCATTTACTGAGGGCTATGCTAGGCACTGGGGAGACCAAAGAGACAACGTGGTATCTTTTCTCAGGGGCTATTATTTACTTCATGGTGTTGACCTAGCAACTGTATGGGATAAGACTAGCCCTGACTTTAGGCTTTGCTTCTGTTAAAACTAGAAATAAAATTATGCTGATCTTTAGTTTGTCTATTTATTTCCAGGATATATATGCACAGGTGTGGGCAAAAATAGGTTTACAGTTGTATGTGAAACAATTTATTCTTGTATTATTATTTATTTAATTATTGTGTTATATTATTTTCCATACAAATAACTGTAAATCTACCTTTTCCCCACTATATATATATATACATACACACACACATATATACTTTTCCCCGCTATATATATACACATATACATATATATACACATACACATATATATATATATATACTTTTCCCCCTCTATATATATATACATACTCTTGATGTGGGTGAAGGCAAAGAAGGTATACATACAAATTCATATTTAAAAAATCAAAAGAGTAGCCCATCCATGATGAGAAATAGAAAATACATGAGAAACTATGTAGTTTGTCATAATGCTTAAGATTATGGAAACTATTTTTTAGAACCTGGTTCTTTTCACTAGTTTGATGCAAAACTATGGACAAATTGGTTAATCTTAATTAATTAGGTAATGCTTGCTTTATTTACTTAGACATGTTTATTTCCTTTTATGCCAATTCTTTCAATAATAAAATGATGTAATTCAGTGAAGTATATGATAATTAATTCAGTTCAAATCTACATCTGTTGAGCCTGCTTTATGCAGAGCACTAGGTTAAGGACAAAGTATTCAGAGTATAACACATCTCTAACCTCACAAAAAAGTAATCAGATGGGGAGAACATACACAGATAATTAAACCTCGCGTCAGGTTAAGAAGTACTGTCATAGCTATGAACCAGGTGTTTTAACAGCAGAGAGGAGATTATTAATTTTGAATTGGTTAAGAAAACTTTGTCTAAACTTTTCACATGACTTTAACTGCAGAGGACCTCTCCCCTCTCCTCCCTTCCCTGATTTGTCATTCCTGGCTGCTTCCTTATTTAACAGTGGGGGGGGGGGGGGCCACTTCAGAGTTGGCATCAGAAATCTCTTTATGGGGATCAAAGATTCAGATATAACAGGATTTTAAAAACGTCTTTGTGGCCCTGGCCGGTTTGGTTCAGCGATTAGAGCATCGGCCTGCGGTCCGGAGAGACCCGGGTTCGGTTCCCGCTAAGGGCATGTACCTCGGTTGCAGTTTGTCCCCGGCCCTGGTTGGTCGTGCGGGTGGCAGCCACTTGATGTGTCCCTTTCACGTCGATGTTTCTCTCTCTCTCTCTCTCTTCCTCTCTCTCCCTCCCGCTCTATCTGTGCAAAAAATGGAAAAAAATGTCCTCGGGTGAGGATAAAAAAAACAAAAAAAAAAGTCTTTGTGCACAATATGTGCCAGCCTCACCCTTTGACCCCACATGGAGTATAGACACGCAGAACAGCAGATCCTTCTGTGAATCAGTGCATAGAAGACAGCAGCTGGAGCAGGGCCTCGCCCACCCTCCTGGCCCCAGCCTCACTGTCCTTGAGGCCAAGAAGAAGGAATTCACACTGCTGTGCAGAGTTTGCAGAAAACAAAAGTTCCCACCTTTCTTCTCCTTCCCTCGCCTGTCCCCACTAGAAAAGTCCCAAAAGGCAAAAAAAATATGGATGGTGGTTGCGCACCGCCACCGAGGTGAAGTGCAGCCTTGGTAGCCGGTCCACCCTTTTGTCTGCCCGGTGAGGGCTCTGCCATATGACGAGTGATGTCATTGTTATCTGTGGTTTTCTCTATCACATCACCACACATTTTTGTTTAGAGTCTTTTAAAAGATCAAGATACGAGAGCAGAGAGGAAGGAAGACAAAAGAGATTCCTTGCTGACAAATGTAAGGCCTTAGGAAGAAATGGACTAGGTATCTCCAGTAAGTTACCTGTATGACAATCAAGGAAAAGCAGAACTGTTTCATGAATTAAAAGTCAAACAGGGTGCTCTCCTTCCTGGAAGCACGCCTGCGCCTTTCCCACCCCCCTCTTCTCTCTCAGGTACGAATCTCTTAAACTCTAAGGGTTCCCGAGAGACTTGCAACCCATAGGAGCAACCAGGCTACCCCCTGAACCTGTCCCCAAGGCCCCTTTGCTCTGACTTTCCAGCGAGCTGACAGTAGCCCCCCTTGGCTCCTTTCTTTCCTGTAACACAAGTAGGGACCCCACGCAGCCCCCCCAGGCTCTCTCCTCTGGCTCCTTCCAGCCTTGTCCTTCCTTGTTTCACTGTCCTCAACTTTAATAAACAACCTCTCAAAATAAAAAAAAAATAAAAAGAAAATATTTTCCAGTGAATGAACATGCAAAATTTTAGTGTTTTTAATGCAAATAACTCTGAAAAGCACATATTGTTGAGCAGTCTGCCTTTTGAGGATTTGTCCATCTTTATCTTGAAGTTAAACCACAGACGGAGGCCCAGGAAGGGAGCAAACATCTATTGAGGGCTTATTGTGCACAGACACTATCTGGTCACTTCACATGGGCCACTTCGTTGAATTAATACAGAAATAAAAGTTTCCCATCCTAAGTCAGAAGCTTGGCAATGCCAGCATGCTTTACACAGAAAACTGTGAATCAGGAATATTTCCCTATTCAGCATCCTGTTTTTTAGATCCTAAATAAGGTCTTTATTTCAAGAACCAAAGATGCCCCCTAGTGTAAACTCTATTAAATGTTTGGTTTTGAAAGAATACAAAAAGGCTTAGTTCGAAAAACAGTGTTTCGTGCTTCTCAAGTAAAAAAAATCAGTTAATCTTATTTCTTGAATTAATTTAGCAGAATATTTTCTACTTGGCAATGAACTATAATCAACTGAGCAAACATGATATTAAAATCATGGTATCAAACAGGAATTATAAACAAGGGATGAAGTCATCTCTGACACCCTTATTGCCCTTTGTCATTTTCTCCTGTTGCAAAGAAAACATATGGCCAATTTTTTTTTACATAGTCACATACATACTAAATTTATCTCACTTTAGTTTAGCTCAGAGTGACTGCACTATACTTATCTCTCATTAAGAAAATAAAATATTATATACATACTTGGAGATAGAAACATGGTGAGATCTGAAGTGGTCTGGAAGTGTATAAGCAGGAATTTAGGCACATTGTTGAGGGATTTAATGGACATCTCTGATGGATTCCATGGTGCATGAACTGGGTGTAGTGAAGGGAAAACCACAAATTCTCCAGTACATGCCAAGGCATGCCATTTCAAAATACATTTTACATAAACAGGTAAAACAAGCTAGTATGTCTTGAAAGTTGTATCAGTAGGTTTTACTTTTTTTGCAAACCAAACACTAAGGTGGAGAACCAGACTCAGTGGTTTTGAAGCAGGGGAACCTGATATCACAGCATTCTGCCACAAACGTGGCAGCGGGTCTCCACACACTGAGGCAGCTGCGACGGAGACTCTGCAGTGTGGTCTCGGGACAGTACACCGTGAATATCTGATGTCTCGAAATCTGATACCCCATTTAACACCTACTCTTCCGTTACTTCCAGAAAACTCTAAGCCACTTCTCTGAAGAACAGTAACCAATAGCAAAATTCCTTCTTACATGCACATCCTAGGAGTTGTTCTAGAAATGTGATGCCCCTTGTTTTACGGAGTTGAAGCATTTTCAGTAAAGGCAGCAGCAGGTGGGCAGGTAGAGCCTTAGCAGTGCACACGGCACATCTTGCCGTCTGTCACGGTGCTAAATGCACGCAGAGCAGTGTTTACAGTTCCTTGTACTATTCAGCCACTAAATATTATTAGGTGCTCGCTAATTTTTCTGAGTTGTGTTGCTTGGACCTGCTGCTTCCTTCCTTTCTGACTGAATCTCACATCTTCTCCTTTGTTGTACCTTGTTTTTCCACTTGGTGTCTTCCCCTGATAAGCCCAGATCTCCTAATGTCCCAGTGAATCTGTAACAAGTTTTCATTTTTTTGTAAAACGTTTTACGTGTCACAAGTTAAAAATTTTAACAGTTGCCAGTGAGAAGAAACAGTAGCAAACAACAAATATGCTTGACATGCAGGGACTGTACATCTATATTTATTTACATATACCCATACTTTTAACAGTGTACATTAGAATGAAGGGTATAATCTCTGTAACTGTGTTCCCTAACATTACATGACATGGATGACATGTGAATGAACTGCAGTAACCCTATGAAAAAGGATTCAAGAATTTTAAAAATTCCGGTGATTCAGGATGTGCATTAAATGGGATGGTCTCTGGAGTTCATTATGACTTCTCCAGAAAAATTTTTGCAGACATTTCCTTTGAAGTTTTTTCTGAAATGCTGTAATATCTTTTACTGTTTTTAGATTATTGGCACAATATACCCAGTAAAATATTTGTCTTGCAATAGTGATTGATGACCTAGCTGTATTATTTAAGTTTAATTATAATGAAATACAACTAAAATTTTGCTTCCTAAGCTACACTGGCTACATTGTAAGAGACCAGGCCATGTGCGGCTAGTGGTGGTTGTACTGGACAGCCCCGGAAGCACATCTGTGATCACAGAAAGTTGTTGAATGGCACTGACCGGACCACCGATGCTCACTGTAATAACAACAGCTATAGAAGGCAGAGAGTCCATTTTTCTTTGCCCATTTTGCATATTCTCTGTTTTTCTACTTTTAATAAAATCTTGATATCTATTTATTTTCTTGTTGTTTATTCTGAAAGTCAGATTCTTGCCCCTGAAATTCAAATGCCAAAATATAATCCTGTTTCATCAGAAGCTGTGGATAGTTCGTTGAAGCCTGCTGCCATTATTTGTGACAGGAGCTTTGCATGGTATCTCCTGATAAAACAGGGGCATGGCCCCCTTCCAGCACAGGTGAGGGCTGAGCTCCACCTCATCAGCCCTTGTTCATGATTGTTGCTGGGTTTTGGTTTTGGTTTGCTTTGCTTTTTGGCTGCCACTATCAAGGGTAAAGAGGAGAAGTTTTCTATCAAACGGAATGCCCTTTCTCTTCTCTGGCAGTCTCCTTTGTATAGTCCCCCAGCTCACTGTCATCCCACAAACAGAGTCAGTAACATATATAATTTGTCATCCTTCCACTGAAAGGAAACTTGAGGCTCAGTGATAAACAGGTAGATTTTTCTTGATTTGACCTGTATTTGAAGAATAACAATCCTCCCCTATGGTCCAATGACCTATTTTTAGGCCTAGTCATCCACCTTTATTTGGGATCAATTTGTGTTTTTTGTTTGTTTGTTTGTTTGAGCCCTGGATTTATGCCTAATGACTCTGTCCACTGACACCCCCGTATTCTTCTTTGGGGAATCTCCTTTTCTCTATGAATCCATCCTTAACCTAAGTACACACCTTTTTCCTCGTTTCTGGCTCCTGCAGTGCCTCAGCTCATGTGGAATTCACTTCATTCTGTCCCATATGCTCCCTTTTTTGTAAAAGTTTCTACTCTCTTTCCCAGGATCATCTCTGCTCCAGGTTAAGTCCCTGGGGTCTGGGACCAGTCCCCTTGATTTCCATGAGGCACAGTCATTATTAGCACGTTAAAATGAATCCCCCTTTGCCCTGGTGCTCAGAGGTTTCTAATGCAACATTTTTAGTATTTCAGGGTGTATTTTAACCTAGAAATGCTCTTCATCTGGAGACCACTGCCAGTCAGAAGTGGACACCTCTCCCCCATGTCAGATACTCTAGAACTGTGCTGTCCAGAATGATGGCCACTAGCCCTGTGGGGACATTTAAACTTAAATGAATAGCATTAAAATTGTAGTTCCTCCGTGGCACTAGCCACTTATCATGTGCTCAGTAGCCACATGTAGCTAGTGGCCTCCATGTTGGACAGCACAGTCTTAAAGCACACCACCCCTGAAGGACATTCTATTGGATGGTTCTGCTCTAGAACTTTCCTATCACAATCTGTTCCACACGACCAGCAGGGTTGACTGGCATAATTATCAAAGTAATTCCTCTTGCTTTCTCTCTCAATCATTTTTGAGACCAGTTCCACATTTCTGAGAGCCTCACCCTCATTAAACTGACAAAAAACGTGACAGCATGTCCTACACCCACCCAGGAAAGACTGCATGTCCTACACCCACCCAGGAAAGACTGCATGTCCTACACCCACCCAGGAAAGACTGTGGATTGAGACTGGATTAGGGAAAGGCTTTATATGCTAACGTGCAGCTAACTCTGAAGTAGTCTAAATATTGTAATGATAACTTCTTAGGGCCAGCTGGGAGTTGTGTTTTGTTTTGTTTTGTTTCCCTTACACTATTATTCAAATAGTTGCTGAACACTTTGTATGTATTCAATAAATATATAGTTTTAAGGATTACATATTTAATCCTCCAAAACCCGTTAAAGTGGATGATATTCTTAAACTCATTTTACAGGTGAAGAAACTAAGGTGCAGAAAGGTTAGGTCACCTCCCAAGTTTACATAGCCATTAGAGAGCAAGACTGTCCCTCACTTACTTCATTATAGTTCCACCTGGGATTGGATTTACCCAAATTGTAACAAAAGCCCATGAAACATGAACCTGCTGAAGGAAAAGGCTGAGGAACTGGTTACTGATCACCCACCAAAATCCAGGGAGAGAATATAACTTACTCTCTAGAGGACATGTTAAAAATTTCAGAGCTAAATCAACTCTATATAAATTTAGTGTTTTTATAGTTTCTTATTTTTATGTTGTCTGAGGTTAAAAGCTTGAACATAAAAGATTATAAGATGTTAAAATGCATAGTTACTGTTGTTTACCACGAAGAACATTAGCGGTCTGTAAAAGAATTGTTGTTAAAATATGGATTCTTCTTTTTCTCTAGTACTCCCCTAGCATGACAATGAGTGTGTGATCCATCACCAAGTCTCCTCATGAAAACCACAGTGAGTCAGCCCTTCACAGAACTACTAGGGAAGAAAATTATTCATCACAGTGTACAGTTAAACAAAGGAATCTCAGTCACACCAAACCGACCTTTTTATTTCCTGCTCTCTCCCCTATTTTGTGAAGAAAGCGGGTCCAAACGTGATTCAAACAACTGTACGGAGCGGCATATTAGAATTGCCCTAAAATGAACTGCAAATAATTATCTGTGTATGTATATGTGTGGGAAAGAGAATGTATTGTATATGTGTATGTTGTATGGACATACACACATTGCATACATCGACCCACAGGACATTGTAAAATATTATCACATGACATCTTAAGTAGAAATAAGTAGGGACTTTTATTCCATCCTTTTTTTCACGTTTACATTTTAATTATTAAAAGTTGCTCCTGCCCCTCCCTGAACTATTTTGTGCTGTGTCTATCACTGCTTTATATAAGTTATTTTTTAAGGTGAACTCAGATGTTATGGTTTTGTAAATGTCTGCAATCATGGATAGGAATAAAATTGCTTATTTGAGAGCTTTCATTAAGTTGTGTCTGTTGCAAGCTGCCCTGGGATTCACAAAGTGTATCGTCTCCAAAAAAAAAAGAAGAAGAAACTGTGTCTTCATCTCTACGTCAAATCAAACAATTTCTCAGTTACCTTCAGTAAAAATATTTTTATACCTTTTGTTTCAAAAAAAAAAACAAAAAACTTTAACAAAAGCCTAACTGAGACCTATCAGTATATTTCTGCAATAAGTGCTTTAGATGGTATTCTTGATTTGTCTTAGATGATACAGAAAATCATTCATTAGTACCAACTGCTTAGACCATAGCAATAAAGTGACAAGGCTTGTCATGTTTTTAGCAACATATTTTCTTTTTACCATGATAAAGACCAAAGTGATATGAAAACCATTTGCTTGAATTTGTCACTTCTCACCAGGAATACTAGAGCTAAATTTTTAATACCATACTAATTTAAAATGGTATCTGATTTTTATTCTGACCTCTCGTGAACATTTCCACATAGACATTGCAACAAAGATGTATTCTGATGACTGAGACTTTCAGCACAAGGAGGAAAGGCATTTTTACCACCCCCAGGGGGCTCTGGAGAGCTGTTTTCCATCCAAGTATCTTACCAGCAGCATAGCTGACTTGTAAGGGTCCCTCCTGTGCATCCCTGTCCCTGGCCAAGCCCTGCCTCTCTTCCCGAGATACGGGACTTTTATTCAGAAAGAAATCATTTAGAGTAACTAAATTTTATCTGGCCATTGACTTCAGCAGGCTAAATCTGCATTGTGTAAATGTTCAGGAAAAAAAAATGAGTAAAAGTTAGAAAAAAATGTTAACCACTTTTCTTATGAAAGCCCTTTGCTCTGTGGCACTTTCCAGATCTTTTGGTTTTGTTGTATGTAATCATAGTCACAAACACCAAAGTCATAATAGAGAAGTGTGACAACTTTAATTGTAGAGTCTAAAAGATAAGTTGGTGATCATTTCTGTTAGAATTGTGATACAAATAACCATTGATAAATGTCAACTATATGTTCAAACTCCAGAGACTTTAAAAAGCATTGTTTAATTTCAGGTAAGAGGACTCCTTCTTTCTTTAGGCTTATGGTCTCTAACATGAAAAATTGGCAGTATATTTTCTAATTCCTGATCCCAGGTGACTTATTTCTCTCAAATTCATAGTGATTTATTCCTTATGAAAATAAAGAGTTTACCTGTGCATGACAGTGATGCCGGGCAGAACTGTTGAAGGGAAGAAGACAGGCTGAGTTAAATTTATGTTCCAGATTTAAATTCTAACCAAACAAGTCGCCATTACTCACATAATGTGTAGAATCAAGGACTGCACGCTGAAGAACAGCTTCAAGCTTTCAAGAACATTCATGAAGAATTCAAACTAAAAGATCTTGAACTCAAGCCAAGGTAACCTGAAGATGACACTTTGTACCAACACATACATTTACCAAGAATAATTTTAATGTTCATTCTTTGTGAGAACTGTGTTAACATTGATTAAGCTTAATCTTGAGTTTTCGGGTTGAGTCTTTTCTCCATCGTTACTCATCTTGAATTTCTTTTATTTGCCTTCTAAGAAGGTACAGCTTCTTATTATCACAAAGAATCGTGAACCTTATTTTACTTGGCCTTTATTTTAGGGGTAATATTGGATATGAATAACAATATGGGTCCCATTAGTTCTAGCCTATTTGGTCAAAACAAGTAAAATTTGACTTTTTTCAAGGTATACCAATCAACTCATCATAAGTATTTATTTATTTTTCTCTCTTGGAACCCAAATTTAAAAATAGCTATTTAAACTTTTTTAAATTCCTGAAATAGTTGAAATTTTGTTTTTAAGGAGAAAATTATATTCAAGAAAATAGGATACTTAATTTTAATATCAAATAATTTTCTAATGTACCAAATAGAGGATAGTATATCTGTATGTTTTTTGTTTAGTTTTGAGTCATTTAAACCTTCTCCTATTTTCTTCATCTTTTCTTTCATATTTTCCATCTCCATCCATGCATTTTTGGGGGCCTTGATGTATAATACCTGTTCCTGAGTTACTTTTACATATTTCACTTTACAATAATAATGTCAGCAATACTTGCCTACATGGAACATATAAAATACACATACGAAATGTGAAAATAATAGATGAAAACAATAATTCTCATTCCTCTGCTTTGCATTCTGCCTGACTCACACAGTTGAAAATACATATCAGATTCTCTCTAAGGTATGTATGTCCTTAACCAGCTGTCTTTCTTATAGCAAAGTTGCCCGTGGGAACCAGGCTATGGAGGGCTATTGATCTGGCAGTGCACCAACATTCAATGGGTGGATCTTTGTGCTCCTTTTCAAATGTTCCGGTTTGGACTCAGTTGCTGTTGAACAGGCATTACACAGCTAGGAATCTGAGGTTAAGATTTCTCTACTGCCGAAGATCAATATATGAATTTTGCTCCCTGAGCCATGGAAAGGACCCAAAACACCCCTTTCCTTATAGGAATAAAATAGAGAAAACTTTCATTATATTTTTATGATTTTTTGCATTTCATAGGATCATTCAGTTGCCACTCTTCCTGTAGTTTAAAAGACAGCCAATGAAAAAATGAGTTCAGTTTGGGACATGAGGAAGGCCTCCATCTTCCCACACCGTTTCTTCACATTGCCGGTCTAGGACTCTGCAGCAAAGCATCCAGAACTGCTCTCTTGGCAGAAAGTTGGCCACAGTCCTCTTACTATCACATCTTGACTGTTTCTTCCATGGCTTTCTCCATGCCTCCCTCCCAACCCTTGCATCCTCCAGTAGAAAGACACAGACTGCACTTTTTTTTTTTTTAACCTTCTCAGCCCTTATGATTTTCTTGATATAGTATATAGTTTTCCCATGGGAAATCAATGCAATTTCCATTTCTTGATTATCACTGTTAATTAGAAACAGAACCGCAAATCATAGCTATGTCACTTTGGAAAACATTACAGTATTTTGACACTGGTTTTCCCTTCACGTCTGTGTGTTATGTACTATAACTCTCTTTCCTTGAAAGCATTAACTGATAAAAGTAGTGCAGGAGTGAGGGAGAAGTTCTATGTTGAGGGGAGAAAGTTGCCGAAAAGTGTATTAGTCGTTTTTTTTTAACCCCCTCTAGGTAGAATAAGTTTCTTATTTGCTGTGAGGAGCAGGAGTTTGTGTTTGCTTGAAAGAGTGGTACCCAATTGTAAGCATGTAGAAGGGCTCCCTGGGTCTGTGAACCATAGCTTGGGAAATACTGGAAAAGTAAAAGAAAGAATGGTGAGCCACTATGAATACCCTTTCATTTCGCATACTAAGTGTGTGTGTGTGTGTGTGTGTGTGTACATGTACATGTGTGTTGGGAATAGCAGTGTGAAGTTTGCTCACAAAACACTCCCACTATGATTTACATTATTATAGCACAACTGGTAACTATTCAACATAATTATTTCCTCTGATTGCTTTTTATTTCATTGGTAAAGTAGGTGATAAAAGTTATTTGGGATGGAAAGAGATTAGTACAAGACATAGGCAGATGGATGCCCAGCTTTAACATACCCATGTTAGCTCATCCACATTAGCCCCTTACGAAGGCACCGCATCTCAAGGTAAGAGCATGAATGATCATTTCATCCTTGGTCACTTCACTGCCAGGCATTGTGCAATAATTAAGTAGAGTATTTCGATGTGGACACTTGTTTATAATAAATAGAATTGACATTCTTAATTTATTTTGCCATTTCCCATGGAACTGAAATTCAAATAGAAAGAGATACCTACAGATGAAAAACACCTGAGACCTCTCTAATTATTCTTCTAAACTATATTCTAAAAAGAAATTCTCAAATAATTATAAACAGAATTTTCTCTGTTAAGTTTTCCCTGTTAAGTTAGTATAATTAGTCTTTCTGAATAGAAGAAACATAATTTCTGTACATAGCTTAATGTGAATATTTTTGCTGTCTACATCCTTACAAATTAAATGCAGCACTCTCTATAGACATTGTAAATTTTATTTTATTATTTATTTATTTATTTATTGTTTATCCTCACCTGAGGACACCTCTCGATATTTTGTTCAGATAGAGTGGGAGGGAGAGAGAGAGAGAGAAACATTGACGTGAAAGGGACACATCGAGTGGCTGCCACCCACACGACCCAACCAGGGCCGGGGACAAACTGCAACCGAGGTACATGCCCTTAGCGGGAACCCAACCCGGGTCTCTCCGGACTGCAGGCCAATGCTCTAACCACTGAGCAAAACCGGCCAGGGTGGATATTGTAAATTTTAAAGTGGGACTAAGTGTTTTCATGTACAGAATTAGTTTGTGTCTTCCTTATTGTGGATTTACTATCTTCAGGATAAATTGGACTCATTTTGATCATTCCAGCCATTGAAATGTTATGATCTGTTCCTAGCAATATTTAGCATTTAATTTTTAAAATAAACTGTGCGATTAACATGACAAAGGTGAGTGTTAATATTTCTAGGAAAAAATGATATAAAGGATTTATTCCTAGTTCACATTAAAACTTTATTCTACTTTCTATTTTGTACCAAATGACCTCAATATATTGCCAAGAAAATGAAATTTGGATTCCTCAGTGTTCTCAGAACACAATATAGTATGTAGTCAGCTGAATTTCCATCATGTCATGGTAAAATTGTTCAGTAAAATATAATTAACCATCAACTTATTAGAAAACAGCTATTCAAATCATCTGTCCAGTTTACATACTTTAAATTTAGCAACACTCTAGAAATTTTCTTTGTATAAACTACTGATTAAAATGTGTGTATGGCTTTCTTTAAGATCATATTTCAAAATGTTTTAATTTTTCTTACATTAAGACAACTAAAAACAAACTACATGGTAGACTAAATAAAGGACATGCTATTGTGTCAAACACGAAAAATAGAAGTCTTTATTGTGAATTCTTTATTCATAATAGCCACCAGCTATTGAATTGTT